AAATATGACTCGAAGAATAGTAAAGAACGATCCTTCGTGTCATATTTTCCCGCCCGTTTAGACTTTCCCTCGCGCCCACTATCTGCCCCTGGGTCTCCGAGGATGGCCCTGACCCAAGTCGAAAACAAGCGACATTTCTAAGCAGAGTCCCAGTCCACTGCATCACACCTTTTTGCTCGGACGCGCTCGTTTCGCCACCCAACCATTATCCGCCCTGATAAATATGCTTGGTATCCGCCAGTGACGTCATGGAGCATTTTGCGTTTCCAGGCAACACAAGGCAACACAGACTTCGCCGCCGATGACCAATTTACAAAGTTTTCAATCGTTGAATCACAAACAATTTCCCATGCAAATGACACACAAGCACAACAAGTGGCTCCAAATCCTCGCCCAGGAAGATTTTCCACCGAAACTTCTCTGGAGCGACAACGCCGATATATAGATCAAAGTCTGTTTCAGCTCTGTATTACGGCCCGAAGAAGGAGAACTGCACCGGGCCATATTTGTTCTTTGTTTTTGTCTTTTTCTAAATCCGGACGCCGAAATGGTGCTAAATCTGCTTTTCAATGCACTGTTAACAATAACGCCACATAATACGCAAAAAAGAAGAAGAAGAAAAGAAAGAACAACGTATGGACCTTTAAGACGATATTCGCATCCAGTTCGTAACCCCGACCGACAGGGCTTAACTTGAGTGCCATTACAAAACCGAGTTTCGCGAGGGTTATTGCGAGATACATATTTCTAGTTTATTTATTTACTTACTGATTTTGTATACATAACATATACAAGGTGGAAAAACAATTATTCTAGGACTCGAAGTTTCCTACCAGGCTAAAGCACCCTATGTTTTCCTCATATTTTGACAATACCATTATCATTATCAAAAGTAGGTTGAGTTTGATCGTCCTGGTGAACGTAGTCCTGAATAGGACTGTTGTTGTTAACAGTGACTAACGTTTCGTTTGTTCTTTGTTAGTAAACCAGCTTTCTTAAGTAAGACGTTGATAGTAGTCTGTAGAATACGTTATACATGTCGCAGAGTCCCAGTCAATTTGATGTTTCGTCTTCAAATGGTGCTCAGCAATGTGATTGTTGACGTCACCATTCCTCGTCGCTCGTTTGTGTTCGGTCAGTCGGGTGCTTAGGTTTCTGCCGGTTTCACCAACGTAAGAAGCGTGGCAGTCGCAGCATTTGATCTTGTATACTGCTCCCTGTCTGTCCTCCGGTTTGTCTTTGTCCTTTGACATTAGTAAGCAGTCCCCGTAAAGTGGTTATCGGTTTGCGTGCAACACGTATATTGTAAGGTTGTAATATACGTGCAATAGTTTCAGAGTGCATCTGATGTACGGTATAGTCGTTGTCGTAACAGGGCCAGAGTTGGTCTGAGTGTTGGAATCGGTGTTACTGTGAGTGTTCCGTCTACCAAAGTCCGTGTTGTAATTGTTCTTACTAAAAACGTTGTAAAGATAATCAGTCTCGTCTTGTAGGCTGTCAGGTGAGTCGCAAACTAGTTGCACTCGTCTCGTCAGAGTCCGGATAGTAGTAGCCTTGTGAGAGGTCGGGTTGTACGAAGACTGGTCTAGTAATCGCTCGGTATGTGTCGGTTTTCCGTAAATAGTCGTTTGTAGTTTGTTGTTGTCGCGAGTGACCAAGCAGTCGTCTGTATTGTCTTAATGGCGTCAATAAAGTTCTCAGTAGACTGTAGTTTGTGTCTAGATTCGTCAGTCAAAGGTTTCAGTTCGTTAGTTAAGTATTTAGACAGTTGGTAGGTTGGGGACCCACAGAAAGAAACTGCAACGCAAACTAGTGGCTGACAGCCAGCCGGAACTGGTTACATGGCGGGTGTTTCTACAGAATATGTGCGCATTAAGAATGCGCAAAAATAATTACCACTTTGACTGACCTTTACACAAAGTAAGCTGAAATAATTCTGCAAACAGTTAAAAGTGTTTACCAAAAGAAATCAATGATTATGAAGCGCCATAGTCTCTGTGTAACCAAGGTACTGAATTGACGACGTTGGAGCTTTATTCACGAAGCTCCTGACCGAGAGATCCCTAATGATGAGAATTTCTTGAGAAATTTGAAAAGATCTCTCGCTACTAATTCGTCAGAATTAAGGCCAGTGTTACGCGAGCGAGCACTGGGAATAGCTTTGAAAGAAAACACAACAGCAGAAACAACTTTAAACATTTAACATGAAGAAAAATAATGACATGTTCTCATTCAAGTGACCTTCATCAAAAAAACTTGACCAAAAAAAATGAAGTTTAAGGAAGAGCAGCTAGTGCAAGTGAACTGTAGCATTGTAAGATCTGTACTTGAATATGCCTGCCCTGTTTGGGCAGCCCTGCCAAAGTATTTAGAGGACGCTATAGAATCTGTACAAAAAAGGGCCCTACGCATCGTTTTGCCGAACTGTCACTATGACGACGCCCTAATTCAATCTGGCATCACTGCCCTTTCCCAGAGAAAGGAGGAAGCTAGCATAAATTTTATCAAGCGTGACTGCCTGTCGTCTCCGGTACTCAAGCCATTAATTCCTTGTGTGTCAATTGACAGGCCATACTGCCTCCGTTCAGGCGAACGTGTTCCGGTGCGCCTTGTCCCCAAGACAAAGCGGTTCGCAGATTTCTGCACCATTAAGTTTCAAGACCAGTTGTAATCCTGTGCTCTGTTATTTTTTCTCTGTTATGTAGTGCTTTTAATTACATTTACATAATTATCTACTTGATTGTTTTGGCATTGTATTGTCTTCTGTTATTGTCTCTGACCTTCCTTGTAATTCAGCCTTTAGGATGCGAGAGGGATATCGATAAACTATTATAATTATTATTATTATTATTAAATATGCACGATAGCGTGTGGACCTCAAAGCGAATAAGAGAACAGCTGAGTCGGGATTACTCCCAAACAAAAATGGAGAGAATTGTACGGCATGTTGCAGCCATCACCCTCCCTGGGTGGATTCGTTTACATCATACGCTTACATTGCATATAGCCGTCACGTCTGCCCCTCGGAGTATTTTTTTAAGCACAAAAACAAGAGAAAATTTCAGAACAAAACAGAATTTGAGTTCGGGTATGGGTAATTTGTCATTGTTGAGTTCCATGTTTTCTACAGGCCAATTTTGAAAAGAAAAATCTGATCGTTTTTCTACAAATTCTTTGCAAAGCTTTCAAATTAAAAGTTCCAGTTTGGTTCTCGTAGCCTTTTCTCTGTATATCAAGAGATGATATCTCTCTTGCCGAAATAGGCTTTTTTTTTCGCCGTTGAGGTTTCAAACGGGCGCTAAACATAACCAGATGATCAACGGGGTCTGTAAATTCCAGCTGGCGGGAAAGTGGTCTGAAACATGCCCAGCTAGTTATGTCAAGGGATGGAAAGAAAAAAGATGAAAGTAATTTTAAGAACATATTTATAAGTCTCTTATTAAAAATTCGACAATCTGCTACCGTTCTTCATGTCTTTAGGTAGTTTGTACCCACAAGTAGCCCCCCCTAAAGGCCAGAGATTGCGGCCTAGTTTTCAATCTGTATCTCGGTAGATTCAAATCTTTTTGTATCACATGTTTCTATCGTAAAGAGCTAGTCTTGGTGTACATTTTTCACTAAGATCTTAGTATGGTTCTTGACTATTTAGGTACTTACGGACCATGACGGAATCAATTAAAAGTAGTTATAATTCATTTAAAATATTTTCCCGATTCTGATTGGCTAAAAGCACACGCATAATTCACCATAACCAGCTACTGACGACCAAATTTGGAAGAATTTTGCGATTAATGAACCGATGACGTCAAAAGTGCAACTTCCTTGCAGGTTAATGCACCGTTAACCGCGAAGACCTGGGACGAGGTTGAGTTGTTTTGGTTGTGAAGACAAAAATGGCGAACATTTCACTCGTTTCAAGAGTAAGAACTAGGCGAAATAATAGCTAAAAACATGGCAAGAACAGTAAGAAGACAACTCGAAGGGCGACATCTGCTATTTGGAGAATATTTGCGGAGCTGAACAACCCTAAACGTGCACTATCGAAGATAAACTTAACATGCATCGATGGAGGTAAGCATGTTCGAGCTAAGTTTTTAAACTAGGAATTATTTTGAATGAATAATAAAACAGTTATTGAATTCGGCTTTCGTATCAAATGAAGAATTATGGAGGTCGACGAGGAGAGTGTTATCCATAATTCTTCATAAGATACTTAATTGTTAATTTATCAGCAATAGGAATCCATCTAGGGGACTTCAAGCCTTCAGAAAATATGATTATACTTCCTGAGGCCAAGAACTACCCTGTCGGCAAAGTTCTGAACCAATTGCAGTATACTTAATATGTTTTAGAGGTGTTACCCCATATGGTGGAAAAATAAAACATTTTACTTAAAACAAATTAAGCGTTAATGTAAAAGTAGCGGAAATGGAAATTTTTAAAAAATTAAACGAAACCTCCAAATTCGTTATATTAGGCTGTTCCGTACGGGATGTTTTCTCAGTTGTGTGGATCCAGGAATATGTTTCTCAGTATTTCCATGATAGCATGTCGAACATGTCTCATCTTCCAAGAGTAGATCAGAGGATTGAGAGATGAATTGAGGTAGGTCAGCATTTCAGAATAAAGCTCAAAATGCCGTAACACCGTAGTCGGTCTAGCGCTTAAGTACAAAATTTGGTAACACGTGAAAGGCAGATAACAAATCAGGAACACAAGATACACGTAGAATGTACCAAGTGCAGTTTTTCTCTCCCTCACAACATTAGCTATATCTCCGCCATTATTCTGTGATAGCTGTTCCTGCAAGAAGTGAATATGATTGCTGTGGTGACGTACAGCTAAGTAAATGTTGAAATAAAACAAGGCTGTGGTTAGGTAACAAACGATATCAACAGCTACGACAATAAAGGCCTCAACATTCGGAGTCCATCTGAAAAGCAACGTTAGAATCGCACTCAATATCCAAATCAAGATCACCACAGCAACAACGCGCTTGTGCGTCACGAGTTCCTGGTATCTGAGGTGAAGATAAATGGCCAGGAATCTGTCTGCAGCTATGGCCACAACAGCAAAGAATGAGGCATACGTAAAAAAATACGCTGTGTTTTCCCAAAGGTGTGATACAATCTCAAACGTTGAATTTTGAGTGTTTTCTCGCAACCGCATGACAAGCAATGTAACGTACAAAGGTTGAGCCAGTAAACCAACACCAAGATCAGACACAACCAGACTCATCAGTAATGTTTTTACGGCTCTTGGTATCGTCAATGGTTTTCTCAGAGCGAGTATTGTTACAATGTTAAACGTTATGGCGGTAAAACCGAAGAATGCGTTAAAAACGCAGTTAGCGATGATTGAAGCTCGCATCATTGCTTTGCTCATTAATGTTCAGAACTCTGCCTCCAGCACTTCTTTAGTTGTATAGTGTGGTTCCATTTCCACGTATGATGTTAAAATTTTTCTTTTCTTTTTACATTTATGCAACCGAGATAAAAGGCCTAATTTCATGACAGACATTGATCGTTATCGAGAGTTATCTGTATGACGTTACCTGTTAAGTAATGGAATATTGGCTGCCTAAAAAGTATTTTTCAAACTATATATTACCGTACAGGATTTATAGAACTCCAAAAACTGGTGTTCAAACGAGCAACGGCAATATCAAAAGGTTATTACGTGACGAATAGTCTTCTTTATCTGAAGGAAATCCGGCTTCATTTTTCAAATTATATTTGTTTTATAAGGTGGCATTATTCTTCAGCTCAGTCAGGAGAGCGATATTAGTATTATTGTTCGTGAATAATTAATGTATTTAAGAAAGGGGGAACAGGAAAAACATGTTTGCTGTTAGTTCTAGGAAAAGTGTTCAGCAAGCGATATGTGTTATTACTGAAAACTTGGCAGGATATATGTTTCAATTAATTAAGTTAGTAGTATGGGATGAAAAATACGTACGTCTACGTTTTACAACGTTTCTCGCACTCTCTCTTATGGAGCTCCATAAATTGTTAATCTTCCGAAAGGTTGCGCAAAACATCGCAGTTATTAATCACGACATCAACACATTATGTCGAACTAGCTTGTTGTCTTTTAATTGCCTTCAGAGCTCAATTATTGTTTTGCCATGACAAATTTCACGACAGCTTTTCCCGGTAAAACTAGCGCGCGGATGACGTCAGAGTGACTAATTTGCAATTTTTGTCTGAAATTGTCATTTTTCTCATTTTAATGACAAAAGACAGACAAACATGACATTTATATGACAAAAGTCAGACAAAAGTGAGAAATTCGCTAATTCAATTTTAGTTTGTTTGTCTGAGTTTCGGGTCTATAAAGTAGCTGCGCGCAGCGCTAATTGAAGCTGTGAAGAAATTGGAATTGGAAATTTATCCCTGTTAAAATGCTGAGTTGTTTTTTCTAAGACTACGAAATACGGAGCTGTCGGATGCAGCACCATGCAGTTAGTTCATGAAGATGGGGTGTTTAATAAGTTATATGAATCATGAGACAACTTTTAACATTTTCACAAGGAGCTGGTTATTTTCAACCACAGACATGAACATCACATGCTTCAGATGACACTTAATCTTGTAGGTTCTAGCAGTGAAAGTCATAAGTAGTAAATGCAGAATCAGAAGTTAAATAAAGAGAAAGAAAATCCAAAGCGCTAATTCTTGGAAAACGTATTCAAACGTATTATGCCTAATAACGGCGAATCCAAAAAGGAAAAAACTAATAGGTATTTACAAAACACAGACAGTTATAAGACGGCCAGTACCGCTGCTGCATCCACCGCGGTTAATTTTTCTTGGTTATATCAGGCGCAGTATGGAAGTTAGAAGCTCCGGGTTATGGGCGCCTATGGGCGCCTGGTTATATTTATAATTATTTTTTTGGCGTCAAAAAAAATGTTGCTGCATTTATTTATTTATTTATTTATTTACTGATTTAGTATAAATAACATACACAAGGTGGAAAAACAATTATTCTAGGACTCGAAGTCTCCTACAAGGCTAAAGCACCCTATGTTTTCCTCTCATATTTTGCCAATACCACTATCATTATCATTATTATTCCGATAAGCGAAGAGTGCTTGTCAGTTCTGGCTATTGATGAACAGTATAGAGTTGGATTATGAGTTTAAAACTGATTGGGTCAACAATTAAATTCGATCTTGCGTTGTCACAAATTGACAAACAAAAGATTATGCTTTGTTTTCCCTTTAAGAGAATCGCTTGATAGCTTTCTTGGTCTTTTTGGACGTTATTAGTGTAGTTAAACATGACAGTATATACTTAAAGTTTTGACTATTTATAATTTCAGGTCTGTTTTTTACCTGATTATCTATTTGACTTATTTTTTTCTGTCTACAGGAAAGGCAAGAAAGCTTTATTTGAAAATGCAACCAGTTTTTGATGACATTACGCCCTATTAGTTCGTCATGCTGGAGTGTCTCAGATGTTTTCCTAGTTCGCTTAATATCTTCTTAAATTTTGTAGTGTACAAATTTGAGATCGTAAGCTCCTTAAATTTTGAATTTTTAATGACCCTTTTTTAAGATTCTCAAGAGACTTTGAGCCAAACTCAGTGCGGTGATAAAATGTTGGCCAAATAATATTAAGTTTGTCCCTGACCAAAGTAAAACCTGTTTAAAAACAAGTTAAGGCTCTCGCGCATTTACTGACGCTAATAACTGCTGCCTTCACAGTAATTTTCAAGGAGTTATAAAAGCTCTTCTAGAGGGGCTAATTTAACTCCTTACAGTGGAGTTATTTTTTGGGGAGTTATTTTAACTCCAAAAAGGAGTTTAAAGAACTCTTTTTTAGGAGTAAAAGTGACCCCAGATATTGAGGAGTTAATATAAGCCCCAAAAAGGAGTTATCNTTTGGCGTCAAAAAAAATGTTGCTGCATTTATTTATTTATTTATTTATTTATTTACTGATTTAGTATAAATAACATACACAAGGTGGAAAAACAATTATTCTAGGACTCGAAGTCTCCTACAAGGCTAAAGCACCCTATGTTTTCCTCTCATATTTTGCCAATACCACTATCATTATCATTATTATTCCGATAAGCGAAGAGTGCTTGTCAGTTCTGGCTATTGATGAACAGTATAGAGTTGGATTATGAGTTTAAAACTGATTGGGTCAACAATTAAATTCGATCTTGCGTTGTCACAAATTGACAAACAAAAGATTATGCTTTGTTTTCCCTTTAAGAGAATCGCTTGATAGCTTTCTTGGTCTTTTTGGACGTTATTAGTGTAGTTAAACATGACAGTATATACTTAAAGTTTTGACTATTTATAATTTCAGGTCTGTTTTTTACCTGATTATCTATTTGACTTATTTTTTTCTGTCTACAGGAAAGGCAAGAAAGCTTTATTTGAAAATGCAACCAGTTTTTGATGACATTACGCCCTATTAGTTCGTCATGCTGGAGTGTCTCAGATGTTTTCCTAGTTCGCTTAATATCTTCTTAAATTTTGTAGTGTACAAATTTGAGATCGTAAGCTCCTTAAATTTTGAATTTTTAATGACCCTTTTTTAAGATTCTCAAGAGACTTTGAGCCAAACTCAGTGCGGTGATAAAATGTTGGCCAAATAATATTAAGTTTGTCCCTGACCAAAGTAAAACCTGTTTAAAAACAAGTTAAGGCTCTCGCGCATTTACTGACGCTAATAACTGCTGCCTTCACAGTAATTTTCAAGGAGTTATAAAAGCTCTTCTAGAGGGGCTAATTTAACTCCTTACAGTGGAGTTATTTTTTGGGGAGTTATTTTAACTCCAAAAAGGAGTTTAAAGAACTCTTTTTTAGGAGTAAAAGTGACCCCAGATATTGAGGAGTTAATATAAGCCCCAAAAAGGAGTTATCCTGTACCTAAAATTTTTACTCCACGCTCAGAGTTAAGTTAACTCCTAAAAGAGTAAAAACAACCCATGTAAGGAGTAAAAGTAATCCCACTGGGAGTAAAAAGACCTCTTTTTCAGGAGTAAAAATTACCCCAAATCCGGAGTTAAATTAGGAGTTAAAATAACCCCAAAAAGGGGGTTATCCTGTACCTAAAATTTTTACGCCATTTTTGGAGTTGTAATAACTCGCTAAAAATTACGGTGTTAACGCGGCCCACCAGTTAATTTGCGCTCTTTCAGTCTTTATCGCGATAATTCAGTATATTCCCACCCACTTATTTTGTCAAATGTGGGCAAACCCAACTAAAATTGAATTCCTAGGGACTATATCCAAGTTCAACAAGAGAGATAAAATTTCGTCGTAGCTTGTTTACGCTCTCCATAAAACGCGAAATCGACATTTTCACGTCATAGTCGTCCCCAAACGGAAAAAAAATTACAAAAAAAAGTGTGATGCTCGTGTAGAGTTTTTGTTTTGTTTATTAAACCTATTGCTTTTTTGTTTGCTTGTTTATTTTGTTTTGTTTTTTAAAAATTTTTCGTTGCCGTCGCGTCGTTGGATCTAAAGTCCCTAATGTTTCCTGCGAATCAAGAGGAAGTGATGTCATTCGTCATTTGACGTAGGCATCACGTGGACGCGCATGTTCGATGGAAAAGCAAACGGTCGCTCTTCGAAGCGCAGCCTCCGGCCTGGAGAAACCACTACTCGCAGGGTACAGAGGTAGCGTCAGAGTAGCGTGCTTTTCATGATCACTAGAAACCAATAACAATAACAATAGCTTACATAATCCTAAAGGGTATAACATATATTCTGCGGCGCTCGCTTTCACGCTGCTAAAGCAATAGACCTTATTCACGATGCCAGCCATCTTTGCACGCGCTTAAGGACTGATGGGATAAAAGCGATTTCACGTGGTTTCTCAGGGGGAGCAAACTTTCCAATACAAGAAATCAGAAACAGAAACAAGAAAAAACACAGAAACAAAATGAACAACTTTTTATATTGAGACGATAATAGCAAATTATGGGTGGAAGTGATCATTTTTACTTTTTTTGGTGCAGTAACGACCGTAGATGTCCTCACAGCAAGCAATAATGACGTTAATTTTTTCGAAACTCAAACCGTACATTTTGCATGACTATTAAATCGTCGTTTCGTTTTGAGAGAATAAACAAAGTCAACCGCGATTTCTCTCATTGGCAAATTTTATCTTTTGTTTGCCCCCTGAAATACCACGTGACATTGCTTTTGTCATGGATTCTAAAAAGTCTTTCTGTTATCCATGCTTTTATCCCATCAATTCTAAAGCGCGTGCAAAGATGGCGGGTATCGTGAATGAGGTCTATTGCTTTCAAAGGCTGAAATTACAGGTTTCGAAAGGACTCAAATGCTTTTTTTTATTATTGTATCAAATTTGGGTCCATAAGGACGTTTGTGGGACAGGAACACTTGACGAGCACCTAAGAACGTATGCGTGGGAGACTAAATTTATGATGTGGCTTAAAATTCCGTAAAAAATTCCGTGTTCTGTCACTATGCGCACGCGCACTGACTCCCGACAACCAGGCTAACCTAGGCTATGGATAGCTGTTACGCCGGCGACTGCGCCGGCACGAAAACAATACCGGAAGTAGCTTCTGTTCACACACCGGCCTAACGGTGTTTTCGGCGCGATTTCTGTAATGGAGCGAACCTGCACCGCTCCGTAGAGAGTCAGTTATCTGATAGGTTTTCATATTCTTCCGGTAGTATACCTCATATTAGCCTGTTCCAGGCGTTCACAGTGTAGAGCGCGGTGTTCAGATGGTGTAGAGCGAATTAAATCGTACTTGGGAAAAAAGCGAGCGGAATTTTTCCCCCGCGGTCCACCATCTGATCGCTTGAAACAGGCTAAACTCATACAGTTCAAAAAGTTCAAGTTCAAAAAGTCCGATATGGTACATGTACGAACATAGCCGGAGTGTTGATCCTTTTGCTGCATACGCCGCCTCAGTTTCCATTTGCTCGTTGGAATATTTTATTGTTTTCAAGCTTAAGAACAAAAAAATGCGCCAATTATATTCGTAAACAAAGTGTGAACAAATATATATATAAAAATTAATGATAAACGAGGTAATGGGTGAAAGACACAGGAAAAAATAACGGATTCCCATTTTTGGATATTTTTGGGTATTTAAAGAATACCCATAAAAATCCCAAATTTGGCAAAGTGAGGCAAGTCCCAACCAGGAAATTCCCAACCAAGTTCCCAGATTGGGACTTGTCTCACTCTTCCAAATTTGGGATTTTTATGGGTATTCTTTAAATACCCTAAAATATCCAAAAAAGGGGAATCCGTTATTTTTTCCTGTGAGACTCTCCGGACTCTGGGTGAAAGTGAAGGCCTAGGGGAACCCGTGGCTGAGGTTTCTTTCATGTTACGCACGCTTTACTGTCGTTGACTGAGTAACCTCGCATCTTCCATGATGCTCTTATGCCCGAGCCAAGATGGCGGACGGCATGGAGGTTGATGTCGCTTCTGTTCTGTCGGCGGCAGAAAAAGATGCAGAAGGGAAATTTAAATCTATTGATGTGAAGAAAGACATAGATCCAGAATTAGATGTTGGAAATCTTTTGGCTATCGATCTTCAACCCATTGATTTACGTGAGTTAAGGTGAGTTTAAACACATGTATGATGAGTGGTACACGTGCAAGGTAAGCATTTACAAATGATTGTTGTTTAGACTGGCAAAGAAAAAATATTATAACTATGAATGAGCAACATTTACTTCAGAATACAGAGCCAAATTTTAAGGTCTTAAACAGAAGTGACTTGGTGGCTCGCTTGTCATAAAGTCTAAGAGTGTTTTGATATGTACAGTATGTGGTCCTTGGAACTCTAAATTCGAGATTTCTTAATTTAAGAAAAAAAATTAAAACAAATCGTATAAGGGTTTGTTCTTGTAAATTGAAACTGCCTGTTTAAATTACGGGAAAAAGAGTTCTTATTCTATGATTTGTTTTAAATTTTCGCATAGGTCATAGGTCATGGACCAAGGACCACTTCTCAAAATTTGGTGATATTTTTCAGGAGCTGATAAAACAAAACATTTGAAGTCTGCAGCAATGTGCATCCAATGACAGAAAAAGGTTTATCTGAAAATCTGTTCTGCAAAAAGGCACGTCTTCCCGTTGCATTTTATTTATTCACAAGCCAAGTAAACATGACCATGCAATTTACGGTGTTATGAAAGTCCAATCTCCAAGAAAGGCAAATTAACCTACCTGTCAACAAACTTTAATTTCACGCCTCTACTCACACCAGGAAAGCCAAAACTTCGTCATACGAAAGAATAATAAACAATAAATCATCATGCCTTTCAGTTTTCTCTGTATTCTATTTCTCGATGAAAGATTTAGTCATGTTCTGAAAAGTCACGGACCAAGGACCTCATGGGCCAAGAACCATGTAATTTATTGTAGTTAGATGTAGATCAAGACAGTACAAAGAACATTCAATTTATTGTCCTTTTGTTGTCGCTCAAAGAAATCTATCATCCTTGTTTATACTTTACTGTATGTTGTAACTGGCCGTTATTCATGGAAACCTTTTTTCCCTTGTGTCTTTTTTAGGAAGAACAAGGAAGATTTTCTGAGGAATCTTGCCAGAGATAATGCACAGTTACTGTTTAATGCCATTTGGAAAGTAAGACTGATATTATTGACAATAATATTTTTGTAATGTACACATGTAGAGTTTTATTGGTTTCTATATTTTCTTTGGTTGTCAGCACAATGCTTCTTATACTTAATTGTTTAATTAATTATTTTTTTTGAAGAACTTCATCAGGCTAGAAATACCAAAAAACTTAGATTTCTTGAACATAATTTACCAAAATTAGTTCTGATGTTAATAAGAATGATACATGTAGCTGCCGTCTTTCTCAGTACTAATGACATGTTTAATATTTCAGCTGCCTAATGAGAGATCAGATGGACTTGTTCTTGCCAAGGTGAATTGTCCTGTATACAGTTATGAACTAAAAGTAACCTTTCACCCAGATAGTCACTCTTAGGGCCTGTCATGATCACATTTTCTGACGAGGAATGGGTGGATACATATAAGTCCTATAAGAATGTCTGCATAGGACCTGTTACTATTGAGGAAAATTGGCAACCAAAATAAGTTAATTTCATTGCCCTGTTTTCCTTCCACAGGTATAGCTAATGGCCAACCTCAATCAACATAAACATAAACCTTAGTTATATATTTAACATGGTCAAATGTGTATAGCTTAAAAGCTACTTTACAGGCAAGCCATGAAAAATAAAAATAAAACAAATAAAAAAAAACATGTGTATTACCTATATAAAAATATATTGATAATATTTCACAATTTTTGAATTAAGCTGAGTATCATCTGAAGAATTATAGAGATAGAGGAGGGTGTTATCTAGTGAGGCCTACATGTATGGCCTTGTCAGATAACAACCTCCCAGAATGATAATTCCTAGTTAAAAGCAAGCTAAAATATTCTTACAGCTGTACCTCCATAAGTTCATCTTTGACAGTGCATGTTTATCAGCAAGTTTAGGAGAGACATGTGAAGGGTTTTTTCGGGTCTGCAAATATTCTCCAAATAGCAGATGTCATCTTTTGAGTTGTCTTCGTGCTCTTCTTGCTATGTTTTTAACCAATAGTTCCCCTGTTTATTCCTCGTGAAACAAGTGAAAATTTATGTTCTGCCATTTTGTATTCACTACCAAAACAAGTAAACCTTGTCCCAGGTCTTCTCGGTTAATCATTCAATAATCTGGCAATTTTGCTACTTGATTGATGTCAGATGATAAGAAAGATGAATTCAATAATTGTATTATTACTCATTCAAATAAAACCCAGTTTAAAAGCAAGCTACAGTAAAACATGCTTACCTCCATCAATGTTAAGTTCATCTTCAATTGCCTGCTTATCGGCAAGTTTAGGAGAGAAAGGGTTGTTCAGGACTGCAAAATAGTATTCTTCAAATGGCAGATGTTGTCCGTCAATTTGTCTCCTTGCTGTTCTTGCTATTTTTTTAGTCAAAAGTTTCGTCATTGACCACCAAAACAGTCTCTCAACCTCCTGCCCAGGTCTTTCTGGTTAACTGTTCAGTTTTCTGGCAATTATGCTGCCCAATAGACATTCTTCCAAATTTGTTCAACAGTTGCTGATTATGATGAATTACATGTGTAATATTAGCCAATCAGAAATGGAGAAATAATCATTTTGAATGAATAATAATTATTATTTTTAAGGAGAAGTGAATAAATGATTGTCCTTAATTATTGAATGATTGAAATGATTCTTATTTTGTGTCTTTGATGTTTCTCTCCAGTTGCCTGAACCCAGCACTGTTATTCCGAGAGAGAAACCGGTAGGTGCATCCACACAGTATCAGGCCTGGTAATAAGGGCTCTGGGTTGACAGCTTTGCTAACAAAGATTTTTTTATTTTTTTCGATTAAGTTTTACTAGTAATGAATACATGTATTTTATAATTGTTGGTAGTTTTAAACATTGAAAATCACAATGTGGAAAAATGCAAACACGAATCTGTCACTTTTACCATGTAAACATTTGCTTAAAATGTCACAAATTTGCATAATTTCAAAATGAATGGCATTTTTAAAATGTCATCTTATAGTAATTTCACTGCAACCTTTGCTTGCTTTTAAAATCTTGGCAAGAAATTACAATAGTCCCAGAACCATATCTGTGAAAGTTTAAACTGTGCCTGTGGTTGCCAAACCAATCTTACATGTACGTGCTATTAAAAGCACTTATACATGTACAAGTCGCTACCCAACATGACTGTCTTGAAGAAGGATTTTGTTTGCAAGCACATGGTTTTTGTACAGACTATTCATTGCCAGTAAGCTCATGTCCTCTCAGAGAACTAGTTTTTTATCTTGAGTGAAGGGTAACAAGGGATCAAACTAGCCAAGTATGCCAAAATACAGCAAGCAAAATAAATTAGTGCTCCTGAAAAAGCAAATTTTTTTAAACACATTATTTATTATTAAGGCTATTTAAAGGAGTGCCTTTGCCTGCCAAAAATTAATGTGAAGAAATCCTTTCTGCGTACACAATAGAACACAAACATTAATACACATTCACCNTGACTGTCTTGAAGAAGGATTTTGTTTGCAAGCACATGGTTTTTGTACAGACTATTCATTGCCAGTAAGCTCATGTCCTCTCAGAGAACTAGTTTTTTATCTTGAGTGAAGGGTAACAAGGGATCAAACTAGCATGCCAAGTATGCCAAAATACAGCAAGCAAAATAAATTAGTGCTCCTGAAAAAGCAAATTTTTTTAAACACATTATTTATTATTAAGGCTATTTAAAGGAGTGCCTTTGCCTGCCAAAAATTAATGTGAAGAAATCCTTTCTGCGTACCCAATAGAACACAAACATTAATACACATTCACCTTTAGGTTCTACACAATATTGATGGCCTTCATTACTTTTTAGCTACATTGTCTGATACTATTTACTCAGAAATATCTGCTTGTCGTTAACCATTATTTGCACCTTTGTAATGCAGATTCCTAAACCAAAGTTGCCAACAAAATGGGAGGAGTATGCCAAACAAAAGGTACAAAAACTCAAGTTCTAATCCACCTGTTATTGTATTATGTAGTGGTTTAATTTTATCCATGGTTTAAATGTTATTTTCCTTTGTTTTAGGGAATGGCATATGGGTTTGAAACAATGAAAATAACATTAAGCCAGGGATAAAATTGAACCACAGCAGATATACACAGTGACTATTGTTTCTGGTTAATGAGTAAACTTGCAGACACTTACAATTTTTTTCGCAGTGAAGGTGAAAAATCTTTCTTACATTTTAATCTACAGTGTACTGTAACAATTTCGTGACATCTTCAGAAAATAATCCGTGGTTAGTAGAGTTTTAAAATGGCTATTATTTTTTATATTTCTGTTTGCTCCACAGGGTATCAAAAGAAGGAAGCGAGAAAGAATGGTTTTTGATAAAAATACTCAGGTTTGTACAATTACTTGCTTGTACAATCATGTAGATTATAACTTGTTAAGAGCTGATATTGCTATAATTTATTCCTGGGGTTCTATTATCATAATTATTTTATTTATGAAAGAGCTAATCTTTAAGCCATTGTGAAATATTGTAATTAAAAAATGAATTTTTAGGTCAAAATTGATCCTTTATAGAAATAAATATTAATTTTGTTGCTGTCTGTGACTCATCCAAAAGACAATTTCCCTATTTAAGTATGAGATTTTTTTCCCTTAGAGTACAAGAATGCAGTGTGACAACTTTTAAGTACATTTTACATGTAGGTGTATTGTGTCTCAATTTGCTTCAAATGGTTATATCTTGATTAGGAGTGGAAGCCTCGTTATGGGTACAAGAGAGGAAATGATAACTCTCAGGATTGGCTTTTGGAAGTTCCTCAAAATTCAGGTACAGTGCCTCTTGTTTACTTTTGCTCAGTAGACATTTCTTAGTTTTCTTGTGGCCCTTGCCAGTTACAATGTGGATGTTACATGTACCTCTCTTTGTGACAATGAAGTGTCAGGACACTCTACTGCTGTGTTGATGACACCATTCTTCATGTATTTCAGGTGCACTCGCACCAGTTTGACGAGTCTGTCCCATTACTGTCTATTAGCCATTAAAGATGAAAGTTGCTGCCTTGTAAGACTGGTGTTACTGTCTTTGTGTAGCTGAGCAAAGAAGATTGTTGTTGGGCACTCCCTTGAGCATCTTCCATGTTTTGGTTCCCAAAGAAGTACAGTAATTGGTTTAGAAACTGTCTCATTCTTACTTCTTCAACAATTGCCACTAAATCGCAGGCAGCATATCTGGGGACTTGTCCATGAAGAGCTCTTAGTTAGATATATATGTGCTTTTTCCAGCAGCACATACCAGCCTTCTGTAGCAGCCATCAAGTTGTTTTCCAATGCAGTGGTCAATGTCCAACTCTCCGACTCATACAATACATGTAGCACACACCACAAAGATGATTATCCTTGTTATTTTTGTCTAGATCCCTATGAGGACCAGTTTGAGAAAAAAATTCAAGCAAAGAAAGAGAGAATTGCTAAAAATGAATATCAGAGATTAAGAAACATAGCAAAAAATAAGAAGATTCCAGGTGAGGAGGTTACATAATCATTTATGTTGTCAAAATCTTGTAGCACTATAGTCATTAGCTACACTGTACATGTATAGTCTTATTGTATTCTTGCAGTTTTGGTAATTCCTATGGCTGCTGTGACATCATGTGAAAACACTCTATAGGCCATTTTACAATGACGCTAGAGTTGGCCTTGTTTTGATACAACCCTCACAGCTTTCTTATGTAAATGAAAATCATGATGTTCTTTGCTAACTAGTGTTTTTCAAGCATAATAAAGTATTTCTATTAGAAAACAAAGGAGGTTCATATCAAAACAAGGTCAACCTCAGCCTCACATGTAGCCAAAGGTTTAGGGTACTAAACCCACAACTGTAAAATGGTGCATTATTCATGCAACAGCTACACAGTACTTCTACAAACGTATGAATTAGTATGAATAACACGTGCTAATGGTGTTAAGGATGTTATACCTGGCATAAGTACCACAAGTGATATTTCAAAATTGTCTCAAATTTCACTCGCCTAACAGCTCGTGAAATTACGCATAACAATTTTGAAATATCACTTGTGGAATTTATGCCAAATATCACTACTAATCATGCTATTACCTATACAAAAACTTGCTTTGTTCTCTTTTTTTTTTCAGTTCCTAATAAAAACCTGGAGCCATCATCTAGACGACAAAGCAAGGACCAGGTATAGACAGGCTTTGCTGGCTTTGTTGGCATGTAATAAAATTTTGTGCTTTTTAATATTAATTTATATCTGCCTCAGGCTGTTTATGCATGATACAAATTAATTTTTTATTGTAAAATTAATTCAACTTAGAAGTTTTAGCCCGAGACAAATAAACGTAGATGGTTTGTAGCTGTTTTCTGTTGGGAAGTGCACATGATCTTGTGGTTTGTTCAAATTGGCCCCCGTTTTAGTTCTGGTCTAAATAATAACTCCTCTTAAAATTATTCTACATAGGTGACTGCAAAGTTGAATATCAGCAGACTGTCAACTGCGTCTCTCGGAAAATTTACTGAAAAGCTGGTAAGAATTTTGAACTGTTTCAACAAGACATTTGAGACTGTTGCAGGTGTTTAAATGGTGGAGATTGGTTGTACACGTGTTGTTCCTGACCACTACATGTATTTCAGTGTTTCCCTTCTTCTCTTCTTCATGCAGTCCCTAGTACATGGACACGTACCTAAACACTTGAATCAGTCTACAACCTTTTGTATCTGTTTTCTAGAAAGAATTCTAGAACTCATTTACAGATGTACAAGTGTAGTTTCTCAGATCTATGTATGATCACGCTGGTAATTCTCTAGTGAAATAGCAAATTTTGATGCAGTCAAAATTGATTGAGCTTAGTGTAGAGCACTAAAAAGACAAACGAGCTCTATTAAAGGTGCGGTAAAGAAGTAAACTGAAGTGTACATTTCCGTACTTGATTGTTGTGTGTTTTGACTTCAGCCGAAAGAAAAGATACAAAGGAAAACTGGCAAGAAGCGAAAGGTAGGGTGGATTAATTATTATGCGGAGCGTAGCAGTTTTTGTCTCATTAACTTTAAATTGGTATGTTTTCCATAACCTTGAATGTTATTTGACTCATGGGTTCACAAAGTATACTGTACTCGGACCACCCACGTTCGAACCTGTCTTGTAACAAAAAAAGCGTGCGAAGTTTTTTTTTTTTCGTGTTTAGTAAAACAGGCAACATCGCTATTCAACTCGTTGTGCAGCAATGTTGCAAAACAAGTTGCACGTTTTTTGTTGCCCGTTTTACCATCGGAATCCACTCTTGCTGATTGGTCTCTAGTCTCTCAAAAAGCTACTAAAACTGAGGTCTTTTTCTATACCCGAGAAATCCCCGAGGTCTGATTTGAAACTAGTATTTGTCTTTTTTTCTTGGCATCTGTTCAGGTATTTTCTACTTAATTACTGATAATTCATTGTAGTTTGAACCAGTTGTGGGCGACATGTCGAGTGAACGAAGCCGAAGTATGGAGTTGGCTGAGAAAATTGCCAGGAAAGAACCTTTAGACATTAATAAGGTACTTTAATACTGTATCCATGTGTTGTTATCTTTTTTGCGACTTTAAAAACGAGAGGGAAACTGGACCGAGTACTTGTTGTGTACGCGTTCGCAAAGACTTGTGGGATCGTTACTGGAGACGCGCATTAAGCTATATGCCAATCTTAATAACAGTGCCAGAAGAGCCAGAAGTCTTTGCAAAGGTTAACCCGGCCCAGTTCTAAAGTGGTGACGAATAAGTGTACTTACATGTACATCTTGCTTGCTTACTCTTTTGGGTACTAATTGTGTGCCGGTTTTCTGACTTTATGCCAAGTTCATTCACTGACATTTTATGTCTTTTTCAGGCCGTAAGTCAGCACATCACGGAAACACAGAAAAGGTAATTCTTTCAAGTCCCTACAGCTTCATAAATTCTGATTTTTTTTCTCGAGCTTTTAGCCAACGTCGAGACAAGGCTTGCGCGGGCGTAAGTTTTCTGTCGCTTCTAACGCTGCGCGCTCCACCTGAAAGGACGTGTGGGTATTAAAAATGTATGTTTTTAGACCACTTTCACTCTTAGATGATTTGTTACTCTCACTTGAAAATCTGTTGACGACATCCTATGGTGCCACTAGTCATATGAAACCTCTGGCAGAACTTTTGCATGGTGCAGCTACAGTGGAAGGTCTCGTAAGCGTACACCCTCAGGACGCGACGCCAGAAAAACGTCCGTTACTGGAGCTGGCTATAAATAAAAGACCAGAAATGCAAAAAACTGTTTGTTAGTGTTCGGTTATGCTGTTGTTCTGACAATGTTGTAATTCAGTCACAAACATAAATTTCATTTCAGATTTTCGCTCACTCGTAAACCCTGAAATTACCCGCGGCCGCCTACGGGAATTGTCTGCTCACGGGAATGTAAAAATACACACGGTTTGTATGGGAGTTTAAACGGGGTTTCGTGAAGGCGGTCGTCAGTAGAGCTGTCCGCTCACGAGAGTGTCCAATAAGATAGCTTCCACTGTAAATTCTTTGGATTCTACAGAAAGAAGTTTGGATTTTTTAATTTTTTTTTTTTTACATTGGCCACTGTTAGGAATGAAAGAGTACATTCAAGTCAAGGGGAAAGGGATAAAAGTTTCTCTGAATGAGGTGATTTACTCATCCTACGTCTGTATAGTCTGCGAGCAAGCTCTCCATGTTGAATGGAGTGGCGAGCAAGAGGCGCTTTCGTGTGCCCCTCGCGTGTGACTTTTTACGGTAATTATCCTGCAGCTGAAGGCTTCTGTCTGCTCATTCAGTGACTTACTCACTGACGCCGGCTACAGGGCGTGGTGTGGACCGCCATACTGCCTAAAACGAGCGCTTTACACTAAGGAGACTTGTGTAATCCAACCTTTTGTTCAGATTTTCTTCTCCATTTTTATTTATTATTATTTTATATAATTTTATTAATACTGTTGCTTTTCAAACATTTTCAGATCGAGTGGATCCAAAAAGAAAGGAAGTGTTAAAGGGAAAAAAGGAAAAGGAAAAATAGGCGGAAATACGAAAAACAAGACTGGAAAAACAGGAAGAAAATCAGGAAAGAAGAAGACGAAGATCTAAAATGGAAATGTGTGGCAACGAGATTCGCTCTAAATAATTTGTTACAGAAAAAAGAGGGAAACGAAGGATTACTTCAAGGTCGTGTTTAGCCCACCACCGAATGGTGGCCTCGGATTCGGTGACTGTCATAACAACTTATAACACAGTAACTCGTAAAGGGGTGCATGTTGTCATTAGGTTGCTGCTTTTTTAGGATAATTTTGAACTGAATTCATTATTAAGTGTCTTTACCCATACTTTGAATGATCCTGTAAACTCAAAAAGAAAACTTCAAACAAATTTCGCAAGGGAGAACCTAACCGTTATCATTTTTTCGGTCATTTTTGGAGACATAACATTAATAGAGCTTGAAAGAGTTGGCCCAATTTTTTCAAGTTTTAATCCATGTCCGTCCGTGCCATCTGCAGCAACACAAGACAGGAAACAGTTTCAATGCCCAAATTCGTCTTAAGTCACAAAACTGGACTCTTTTTGGAATTTAATTGATGTGAAGACACGTTTTAGCTTTTTAAAGATAAATAAATATGTGACAAACCATGTTACTGCAATTGTAATGTAAACTTGTTTTGTTAGTGAATCCAGTTCACGACTTGAACACGAAGGGTCGGTTATTTAAACGAAGTCTAACCTAAGCCGCGGTTTAACAAATCTTTGGACCTCCAGGTCTCTTCCTTAGTGGGTTATTTTAAGAAGATCAATGCTTTCCTGGTCTACTCTATATGCTTTCATAAAACTTTTCACAGGAACTGGTATTTAGATAAAACCATTGGGTCAATTGAAAATGGCTTTAAACGCGGTTTTGTTTAACACTGGCTAAATTATACGTTTAACTAACTGGCCCGAAGTGTTTAGTACCGCTCAGTCTTAAAGTACCCTCTCTCAAATGAATGCACCCGACATTTTTTAAGCTTGTGGCAGACACCCCAGTCTATAGCCTGCGACCCAGATAAAGAACTCGATAAAGTCGGGGATTTAGACTTTCTGCGACGTAGGCTATCCTGCTGTCCATTAAACGCATTGCCTCACAGTTCTATTTATAGTTACATCTCTTGCCCAGGGCCCAAGGAGCAGTTTCCAAAGTGCGGGCACACCTTAAGGGCAAGTGCGGGGGGCGGTGACCATGTCCTTTGAAACGGAGCGAAGGGGGGGGGGGGGGGGGCACCTTTGTGCTTTTTTTTTTTTTTGGGTGTTTGGGTCTGGCCTTGTTCTAATCCTTTTTTCCTCCCTTTTTTTGCGGCCCCATTTTTACACTTTCCTCTCCTCCGAAATGCGCCTTCTCCCTCTCGCAAACTTTGTCCGTTTTCTTTTTTTCGGCTGTTTGGAACTGTCCGATTACTAAACCTTTCTTGAGTCCTTGTTGAACGGAGCCATGTTTATAAATTGCATGCCGCTGAAAAGGACCTTTCTCCTGCTGCGCCCGATTACACGTGCAGGATTCACCAGTAGAAGTTCTTCTGAGGTTCCTGTAACTCCTTTATTTTGTCTAGTATGTCATCGAGACCATTGATCAAAACTTTAAATTTTCAGTTGGGCTTTTGAAAAAGCCCAACTAGAATTAAAATGCGTCAGAGACCACATCCTCAGCCGATATACTTCGTTTTAAGACTGGACCGCAATTCCTTGGAGTAGTCTTCAAATTTAATCGAGAACCTTGATCAAAAAAGACTCCATTCCGCGTCGTTGCATGTGCTACCTAGCCCTGCTGGTTTGAAACGCAGCTGAAGTAACGTGAGTACGGGATGGCCCGAAAATTCTTCCGCCCGCCCCAGTCTCCTCAAAAAGGTGTTTCCGAGAAACCGAAAAGAAGCTGGGGGCAATGTAAATTTCCAAGATGGCGAAGCTCGGTGATGCAGAAGTGGGAAGGAAAACTCACGTTAAACTGCCTTGAAAAATGGGAAACGTAACAGCCGGAGGCGTCAACGAAGGAGAAGACGATGAAAACGAGTATTTTGAGGTATTGTTTTTGTTGAATTGTTAATTGAATGTCCTCCGCTGATGCGATGATTTTTGATCATCTTGGCCTATGGATTTTACAGCCGAATTCAAGCTTTGGATAGGAGAAAACCCGCAAGGAAAGTAGTCATTTGTTTAAAAAAAAAAAAATTCTTTAAAGCAGATGAAATTCATTGCCTGAAAAATTTTGCAACGGTAGTTTTCATAATGGAGTGTACTTAAATAATACCAAACCTTTATCATTTGCGTTTTGAGGAAGTATGACTTGATTCGCAGAAGAATGGCTTTGGAATTTATCACCATTGACTGTTTAAATAACTTCCTATATTCTTTGTAACGGTATAGTTTTGCATAATAAGTCGGCCGCTTTCATTTGGCGTTGAATTTTTGGCGTTGACTTGCTGCAAGAAGTCAATGCATTTTAATGTTATGTTCCAAATTTAAAAAAGCTTTACTATTTGCCCTAACATTAATTCTTAATTATGATAGTCTGGTTGTAATATAATGTAATATATGCCTTTTGAAGGAGGTTTCAGTCAAAACAATGTAATTGCCGTGAATGCTCAGTGTTACATTCCCCATACAATGAACATCTCACATAACAAAAGACATTAGTAGGTATGGTAAAGCCCATGATAAACTGCACTCTCATTATACATAAATGATTCTCCATTCCCTTAGCCTCTTACGCAGATGTCTTAGGGTGGGATGCACGATGAAGCTCCGAAGACCATCTATGTAAGATGTTACCAGTCCCTTGGCACCTGGTTTTACTGTGGTTTCCCTTTTAACCAGAAAGATCTAGAGCCATGCAGTTGCATAAAACTCAGTGTCTGAAATAACAGCAAATACCTGATATTTGGCCCAGTCAAACTCTTTATTTTAACTTCAGATACATGTCAGTAGTTACATCTGACATTACCTTACGTTTCACTTTCCACAATGTTAGGTTGAGGCTTAGTGTCCTAATCTGCAAAAGGAAAAAGAAAACTGTTAAAGTAATTATTTCCAAATTTTCCTTTCTATTTTGATGCAGGATGGACAGGAAGCAGGCTCTGGCTCATCAGGTATGGATGTTATGGTTAAAAGAAATTTAATTGCAGACCAATATTTAGGCAAATGCACCTAGTGCAATGCTGTTTTATTCCTTCACTGGGTGAAAATATTATTATTACTTTTGTTTGGAAACACTGCACAAAGTATTTGAAATCTTAAGTCTTGTTGTTACATCTGTAAAAAAATAAGGTATTAATGGTAACCAAAAGCTTTTACTCTAGAGAAATTTCATATTCCTCCACCCCTCCCTCCCCTCCTTCCCCTCTCTACCCTCTATCCTATTTTCTTGCTCTGTACATAAGGCTGTTCAATCCTGTGTTAAAAGGATAACTATTCTTCAAGCAGTTGGGTCGAAATTCCCCAACATTATGGAATGCCACCTACTGATAAGAGTGTCGGCTGTAAAATCGCAGGGTCCATGACTATTTGTGCACTCACAAAGGATGCCGATGCATGTCGCATCTTTTGAATCTCTGAGTAAGGTGCTATAGCTAGCTTCTTGTTTCCACGATACAGAGATAATTTAACTTAAGTAAATCGATAATTTGTCTTCTGACGAGATGATCGTGAGATGCTTTTGCACTACTCTCCCTTTTAATTAGGAACTGCAGTTACTCAACTTTTAAATTATTCAGACTTTATGAAATATTTTAAAGATTTAAGCCAGTAGAATATATAGAATGCCAGAAAAACAAACATAAAGTCGAAGGGTTTCAAACAGAAAGGTGATCACCTAAATTACATGTTTGTTTGTCTTGTATTTCCATTCCAGTTACTGACCTGTTTCCAAAACTTTTTTTCGTTGCCAGCTGATATCACTGATCAGGGAGCTTTAGACCTTGCAGTGCTGTTTGATCATGGCCTACTCCGGGATGCCGCGTCAAAAATCAAGTAAGAGATTGCTTAATTGAGCTACAGATGTGTTTATCTACATCACAAACTCTGTCCTTGTTTGTGGTTATGTTTTGTTTTTGTCTAAAAATAATGGTATTTACAAAAATTAAATTAATAATAATTCTTGCTAGAAATTTGCAACAATAGTGATCTGCATGAAACAGGCAAAAAACCAAGTCCATGTTAAAACTGTAATCATTTTACATGAACAAGTTGGGAATTGCAGTGGAGAATTTTTGAAAAATAGTTTCATCGTTGTTACCCTATTATACATATGAATCAATGATAAAGTAGTAATTTCTCCCTAATTTTTTTTTTGAAGAGAGGAGCCAAGTGAGTCATTTCTGCAGCAGCATTCCTCCAGCATTGTGCGATGGCTAGAAGAAAGAACGTCCAGGCATGAGGTTAGTACTGTATGCTAGCCAGGTGCTTGTACTTTGTACTTGTCAAAGTTTTTGCTTCATAATTTTACAAATTTTATTTTATTATTGAATATATAATTACCTTTTATTGGGTTTTCTGGTTGCGATTATTCTTGTTATTTCCCAAAACCATCTTATAAAATTAATAAATTAAAACATGATATTTTTCTTTACTACAGGAATTTGTCAGCCTTTCCCAGTTTACTGACATGTTAACAGGAAGAGGAGCAAGCAAGGAAGACTGTTTAGAGGTAATTTACATATTTTTTGCTGTCATTTACTATTATTCTTATTTAGCTATGCTTTTTTTTCAGGTACACTGTAAATTTAAATCTGTGCCAGTTAAAATCTTTTTAACTCATCAGTACTAATATTGATAGTGAGTTCTTAACTACACTAGGTAATATAATGGTAAAGGGCAACTCTGTCGTTTGTTATGCTTCTCTGGTGACTGTAGTCTATACTCTATTCCTTGTGAAGTGAAGATCGCACATGGATCAGAGTGGCCTACAAACTTAGTTGGCCCATATATATTTCTTTGTATATACCCCATGGTGTCCATCTGCCTTGACGTCATCAAGTGTGATGTCACAGAGCATTCTGTTTTTCAGGCAACAGCAGACAGCATTGGACCAAGTTGCCAAAGATGTGATAAATTTCAACAGCAGAAGTATAATATAAGATGTTACACATAGGTGTTAGATTGTCTCAGTTTATAATTTTTACAAACTCATCCAAAATAAAATGCTTACCGAGCTGGTTCCTTTTTCATTTGTATAGTTATTCAGTCAATTTGATGCTGAAGGAGAAGGCTTTGCAGATGTAGAAACATTTTTGGAGGTACTTACTAATTTCCCATTTATTTTATCAGTTAGGGTACATTTACTCGTGCTAAAGTGTTGTTGGTCGTAAAAGTTCTAGTATATTCAAATATTTTTTATTTTGTTGCTATACTGAAAATTTTTTTTTTGCCCTGGGCAAGCAAAATTTGAGCACTTCTCATTCTTAGGATGAGTTGAAATAATTCAATTTTTATCTAAGCCCTGCACAAGCACCCTAAAAGTAGTTTATCTTGTTTTATGTCGTGGTTTCATCTCTGATGTTAATATTGTTCCTAGACCTTGCAAGCTTTTGGTGGTGGTATCAGTGCTAAAGGTGACTTGAGGACTTCAATCAAGACACTACAGAACTGTTCTCTTACACCAGGTACATGAAAATTATACTGATGCACTAAGTTATTTATTTATATATGTATGGTGGGATTTGATTCAGGGCTTCAGTGGAATGACCTGTCCTTATCTTGAGAAATTTGACATTTTTAAACAATTCTGAAGATTGTTTATTTGATTATCATCAGTTCTTACCTTAAGTTTTCATTTAACACTGCATATTCATAATATAAAAAAAATGGCAATTTACAACAGCTTTGTAAAGTTTCAGCTGTATGTAGATTTTCCTGAAAAAGATAACTAGTTGTTAGTAGCTACTTGAAACCTTTGACAACATCAAGTTCTTCTTGTACAGCTGTAATATGAATATTGTTACCATTAGAGGGTTTATAAAGAAAAGCTAAGAAAGTGTACTTAAAGCTAAGTTAAGCTGCCCTACCACCACATACTGCACTTTAATGTCACATTCATTTCACCAGCTAGGTTTGGACACTATCATGTGGGTTTTGGAGAACAAGGCTGAAAGGTGAAAGCTAGAAGTCATCTCCAACCAACATGTGTGTTCATATCCCTGGGTGGGTACCATTCTTGGGGTGTTCAACTCACTTCCTTCTTCTTAGACAGGGGCGGATCCAGGATTTTTTTGAGGAGGGGGTGCACTCGTCTCTTGCTCTACTTCAACACCAATAAACCACATGGTTTTTTTTTTACAGAATACCAGTTGTATTAGAAAACCGTAGGTCATCTCAGGGGGGGGGGGTCCTCACCCCCTGCACCCTCCCCCTAGATCCGCCCCTGTTAGAGCAAGTTTCCCTTGGCCCTACAATTTACCAGTCTCTTGAAGAATGCAATCTGGAACACAGCTAATAGTAACGTGAATAAAGCAACTTCGTGCAATTTATGTACTCTTATATTTAAGTTCTTATTGAGGAAAGACAATTTAAACTTCCAAGGCTATTGAAATAATATTCATGCAGTGATTTCATATTGTCAGGATTTGTTGATGTGTTTGCTGATAACAAAGAAGCAGTTGTTAATCATGGACATAAGTTACTTAAGGTAAAGTTATAGGAGTTGTTTGATGCTGTAATCTTATTATGATGGTCGTGTGGCGTGCATTGTATAATGGTTTTGCAAAATTCACTGTTAAAGGAAAGATGCCATATTGGTAAAGGTTACCATGATTTAAACTGTCTCTAGGTACATTTGATAGCTCATAACAAAATAATGTCCCTTTGTAAGTTTTTTTTTTTTGTCAGAAAAAATAGATCAGGAATTGTACATCTAACACAGTACCCACCAAATATTATACCATGAATTAAATTAATATTACTAATTTTTTACAAGTATCCTAAGAGAAACACGTACATGTATCATACTGAGATATATATGAAATCACTGCTTTTATAAAGAAATTCTGCATGCCAATTAATATTGATATGTTAAATAATTTATTATACATATATTTCTTCAGTTCTTGCTGAGAAACAGGGCCAATAGCACTTCTTTTCCCCTACCTGCCTTGGAGGGCTTCTGCAATACTTCAGAAATGAGACTCAAAGTGTTACAAGCTCACATGGATGCTTTAAAGGAAAAAGGTACATGTATAAATTGCTCAACACATCTTTAAGATTTTTTAAAAATTGGAGAAAAGAAACTGCCAACATTTCAGTGAAGGGAAGAAGGAGTTTTAAAGCCAAAAATAAATTATTCATGGTGGTTAATTATCAGCTTTAAGTCTTTGACTTAACAGGATATATAAAACAGATGCCATGGGCTTAATCATTACGTTTAGTTTATCTGGTGCAATTTTCTTATCTGTTTTGTTTTTTAATCCTTTTGTTTTTCATTAGCTGAGGTAAAGAAGCAAGTCCCTTCTGTGGAAGAGGGTGAAGTGCTGAGACCATTGTTAAAATGTTACACAGGAATTGAAGTATCCAGCAACAAGGGTGATGTTTCAAGGTGACTGGTTATTGATGTTAAGTTTATTTTCTTTACTTGTATGAGGGTTCTATCTGATATACAAACATTTTTCTATAATCAGTTGTTCTCTTGATTAATACATAAGATGTGGATTTTTTAAACTGTTGGAATAACACATAACTTTTGTGATTTAAGATCTGTATTGTTAAGCTTGTCTCAGTTTATTACATGGAGAAGGGAAAGCTATCCCAATTTCTTCTGTATCCTTTTTGACCTGTAACCTATACTGTTGATCTGCTAACCCTAATGTCAAAATCCATATGAGGTACCAGGATTACTCTAAGGCATGCCCTTATTTGTGAGTTAGAGGCAAAATTTGATGCAGACTAGGAGTCCTTACCACTAAAGATTTGGATGTAACAACTCAACTGAATAATAATAAGTGTAAGAGCTGTGTTTTGTTGTTCCTCTACTTAGGTTAACCAATGGTGATGCTAGTTCCTACTGGCAATCGGATGGCCCAGCTAGATCTCACTGGATTAGGTAACTGGACTGAGAACAGTTTAGAGTTCATAGGCAGTAATGTTTAAAATAGCTTATTGATGGGGTCATAGTGCCTAAAAGCATTGTTAAAAAGTTGGATTTTGTCTGCTTGAGATTATGATTAAAGACGAATCAAGTCACACTCTCTTTCAACCACCAGATTGTGCTCTCACCCTTGCTTTTCTTTGTTTACTCTGTTCTTTTTCACAGCAGCTTCTGCTCAATTTTTCAGGTTAAGAATGCGACCTAATGTTGTTTTGAAGCAACTTTCAATCAATGTGGGATCTTCTGACCAAAGCTACATGCCACAGCATGTTGTAGTTTCAGCAGGGCGAGATGATCAGAATTTGAGAGAGATCAGTGACTCTAGGATTCCCAGGTATTGCTGCACTCAACTTTCTACTTACATACCATACTGATAGGGAATTTAAATGAGGTTCTGTCAATTTTCATTAATTGAGTGGTATTAATTTGAAAAGTTTGGTGATTGCGCTTTTGGGAAAACTATAAAGTATGTTTCCTGACAATCCTGATATTCAAATTACTTGCCTGCCATGAACTACATGTAGCTCCTGCTTCATTTCTCCTGAACTTTAGAAACATAAATCCCAACATTCAAATAAAATGCTCCTGACCTGATGAAGTTTAAATAGTGTTATCACCTTTCCGTTACAAGTACACAGCGCCAAAACACAATGATGTGAGGCTCTGAGGCAAGTAGGTGTGTCAAATTTGTTAGGAGTGGAAGTTTGATGTCTTAGTGGCTAGTGTATTGGGCTAATTTATTATAGTTAGATTTGAATGATAACATGTGACCAGGTTAGCTTTAGGTATCCTTTCATAGCACACCTTGATCCATCTTTCAGGGTAAATGTATCAGCTACATTCTAACTAACATGTACCACCTAAATTGCAGAGTTGTAATGGAATCTAACACCTCAAGCTATTGTATGCTATGTCCAGCGGCTTGATTAGCTTCAGCTCTGTGGGTCTGTTGTGGCTTGTTTATAAAACTGTCAACTGGAATTGCAGCTGCTGGGGTGACTTTGTAAATTAAGCTCACAGTACTTCTGTAACCCAATCCATGTAATAATTGATTCTAGCTTATTTTCCATTTGCTTCCTCAGTCAGTTCAATGGAGACTTTGTTTTAGTTGAAAATGTGAAAATTCCTTATCCAGGTTAGTCGATAGTCAATACATCAACCTGGTGCACTACACAGCAATGAACTAGACCATGCTGCATTACGTTACATAGCATCACGTGACAACAGACAGCAGAAAACAGCACAGTGTTGTACAGTGCAGTTCAACATAGTTGTAATCCATTTGTTGATGAAATTATATCTTGTTTTTGCCATCACCCAAATGACTTTAAATCAATTTACCCTTTCATGACAATTATTTCTCTCTATTTTGCTTCCTTTCCAGCACCACAATTGTGATTATTAGTCTTTTTGTCTCTACAGTAATACAAATTAACATACGGAGATGCCACAGTGATGGATGTGATACAAGGATACGAGGAATCAAAGCCGTAGGCTATAGGTAATTGCTTTGCAAAAGTTGCTTTCCAGGTACTTTTTAGGATTCCATTTCTAATAAGAAAAGGTTACGCAGGGAATAATGGTTACAGTTTTTGCTGTGTTTTTTTCAAGATTCAGTCCTATTTCTATATGCATGTAGTGCTGCAATGTCTTTGATTTTTATTTTAGAGTGGATATACATTAGAATACTTTTCACCTTGTGCAATGTTGTGTACTTTTATTCATATTTTCTTTGTGTCTTTTTGTTAAAGAGTTTTAAAGAGCAAAGGTATGAGTGTCAGTGATGCATCAGCAGTATGGTTTCTGTCTATTTTGGGTGCCACAGCCTCAGCAGCTATGCCTATGGCACCACATCTTAGGGATATTATCTTGGCTCATACAAAGTAAGCAAAGAACCTTGATACTCCTAATGTAACAAAAAAAATTGCAGCATGTATTATTAAAGATGAGAGCAGACTCCCTGTTCTCTCTAATTCACACACCTCTCTGTGTTAAAAATATCAGGTAATTCAGTTTGGGATATAAGTATAATTTATATACTATTGACCAGTACCCCTCCAATCGCCTTATTTCATTAGTCCCTATAACCTGCACTACCTATTGTTTTCAGGGATAGGGGCATTGTTATGTCACCATCCCTATTGTTTTTTCCAGTCAATCACAAACCTTGTTTGGAATCGGAGTAGGTCGACCCATATATGTTGTTGGTAAAATCTGTTTTCAGGTTAAACCAGGATTTCCCCTGTCTCCTATAAATAATTAGGGTTAAGAAACAAAGGAATTTCTGAATCAAACTAGATCTTGATTTTACTGATTTTACCTAAGATCGTTTTCACCCTCAGCATAATGCTACCATTTGGCCTGCATGGAGCCCCAGCTACATTTCGGAAAGTGTATGGTGTTCTCCGTTTAAAAAATATAGGTCCCCTCCTTATTTGTTAATTGTGAACTCACTTTTCTAATTTTCATATGTATCTTAGTGAGCTTTGCATTTTAAACTAAATAATGATCCCTTGGGTTATGTGATTGTTCAGTAAGATCATTGAAAGTTCACATTCTCAAGGGCATCATTTTAAAGCTTGCCTTTTCTTTTCACCCATAAATTGTTTTTTTGTTCGCTTGTTTTTTTTTCTCTCCAATTAAAGGTCTGCTTTGAGTCACATGAAGCCGATGTCTTTGTCCATAACATCACCAGACAGGCCAGCTTCTTTATCTCAGAATGTCCTTGAAGAAATTGAGAATTTTTTACTGTCTATTGTGCGGTAAGATGCTGTATATCTTATACAGTACACACAGATCCTTTCACTATTTGCAGTGCTGTGCTTTCATAAACAAAGTTTCATAACAGAATTTGAACCTTACAAAAGATCAATAGCACAGTTTTTTAAACCCAATTTTTCTTGTCCTTATAAAATTTTATGTGAGCCATAAAAGAGACATCCTTGTCATGCAATTGAATCTCTTTTCTTTTGTTCTGTTCTAGACTTGAAGGTTTAATTCAACCAGAGGGTTTAAAGATTTTATTGGAATTTACCTTAGCGCGTGGAAATCTAAAGAGTATTTTTAGAGTTTTAAAATTATTATATGGTAAGCTTTTTACTCTTGTTACATGTACACCATTCTGATATGGTATTTTCTGATAGCTTTTTGCATCAGTGATCATTTTTTCTTATGCTGCCAGAAACGTACTGTTTTTACTTGACATAGATTATTTGCCTTGACTCAATAATGAATGGCTTGAAGTGGTGCATGACATAATGTGTGCAATATTTCCATTTTTAGAAATTGCTCACGAAGATTTTGCTGCTTCCGAAATTGTCAACGCACTTGAAGATGTCCATCTGAAAGCAACAAAGCAACATGGTGAGAACAAAACATTTTTTCCAATATATTCTGTCAGGTCAGACCGTATGCTGTGTGCTGTGTTTATTCATACCGTGTTGGAAAAGATTAACCAATTTCGCTTCCAAATCAAGGCAATTTAAGCTTTACAGATTCTGCTAGTGTCTCTAAGTGCTTGGTTTTAACTTTGTGTGAGTTGGCTGTTTGTTCTTGTGTTTGTTGATATATCGTTTTTGTAGCTATTGATCTCACCACTACTTTTTCTTGTGGATATTTTTCTAGGTGGATATTTAAAAATGTCTTTGTCATCATGTGATGGAGGGCACAAAGACAACCTTTCCAAACCAGAAAATGTTTTGACAGACAACTGGTCATCTGAAGGTATCGTGCACTTTTAAGTGACAATTTCAGTTTTTGAAAATCTGTTAAGCTTGTTTGATATAGACTTACCACATAATAACAAATTCTCTTACCAAGGGCCTGTTTACATGGAGGTGGGGGACCCCAGATAGGTGAGGTAACATGTGGCAGGTCGCCCCACCTATCATGTTAACCTGATCAAATTAAAACGAGAGATAAAAAAAATTGTACATTGCTTGTTTACCTACGAAGCACTTAGGAGTTCATATGAACTCGTTTAAACGTGTCCGTGCATTCCAGATCGAATTGGAATTTGGAAGTGTTGGTTTTGGATGTTATATGGACAGGCGGGTTACCCCACCTAAGCGGGTTACCTCACCTACCTGGAGTCCTCCATCTCCATGTAAACAGGCCCTTAGTACCTCAGCATTGGAAGGTGACTTAACATTAATACACTTAATATTTATTTCTTCCTCTAACTCTAGCTGATCCGGATTTTGCCATAAAATTACATTATGCCCGTATCTAGTTGCTTTTGGAATTTATCAAACAAAGGCACTAAATATTTTTGAATTTTTTCAGCTTACTTGTCAGAAAGTGGAAAAACAACGGTGACAATGATGTTTTCAAGTTCAGCATCTGTTCGCGTCAAACTGACTCGATTGATTATCAAAGTAGGTCAAGAGTGTTTCTTCATCAAATCTATTACGGAATGTTTAACCACAGGTAGCCTAAGCTCTAAGTCTATTGCCTTTGTAACGTAATGGGAGGGTCGTGATAGCATTGCGTGATTCGTCATTTTGCACATGTCGCAAAATTGTGCATAACCTTTTTTGTTTTACTTCCCCTTCTGGGGTTAGAAGGTGTATTATGGGAGATGTGCAAATGGAAAATATAGAAAATATAAGGATTTGTATCGGGGAAAAAGTGTGCAATTCTCACGGTAAAAGTGAGAACCTTATTATCATTATTTTTAAATAAATATCACGAACCTTTGGAGATTTGGAGCCATGTAACATGTAACCCGTAGGATCAACTTAATGCTGTGACGTATCTTTTTATCTCCCAGGTTTCCAAAGGACCGATCGGTCCCTCTCATGGACTTGTTTTTGTTCTAGATGATCTTAAGAGGTATGCGTAACTCTTGTGTCTGCTATTTGTCTTCATTGTCTGATGTTTTAAGAAACACAACTTAACATTTTCTGTTTTGCAATGTTTATTTCAGAGATGAAAAAGAAAAAGAGCATGAAGGAGAAACACATGAAACAGATTTTCTCAGCAAGTATAACAACTGGAGTAAAGAGACCTACTCTAGTTTTCTGGCAAGGTGCATTTCCACTTAACTTTGCTTATTTGTGTCTAGCATACCACTGGGCGTTTCTTGAAAACACTGGCCCATTCGCTGTGAATCGTGTTCTTTCTTAATATCTTTTTGCTACATTTTCACCTTTTTTGCATCTTCGACTTAATTTCTAAAAGTGTGTTTTCTTTGCTTTCCAGCCACAAAGACAATTCTGATATAAGCCATGATGATCCAGTGGCTTTCTTTGCCCTTGAAGAAGACTGGTATGCACTAGCGAGTACACTTAGAATATTTTCCCTGAACGGATTTTTCTGTGTCCCGTAAATCTGCAGACACAAAAGTGTTTTTTTCGTAAGGTAGTTTTATGTATCCTTGAACTATAGACACGGTGCTTATTTGCGACATATCGCAAGTCCATCTTGGAGTTAATGTCTTTTAGTTAATTATTATTTGTCAGCTACTTTATTTTCCTACTACGTACAGTTATGTAAATATCTTATATAGTGTGAATAAAGAATTGAATTGAATTGAATTGAGTTGAAAATACGACGCTAAACGTATCCTTGCCTTTTCAATTATTGAACAGTTCGAGAAGGTTTTTTTAACATTTTCTTGATAATTGTGTTTCACAGATGAAACTGCAACATGTTTTGTTGCTTATTGTGTGGATTGGTTGTTGTTTTAGTTTATCGTCATTAGTGCTCTAACAGTGTTAAATATAGTTTGATTTCCTTCTTGACTAATTTCAGGGATGAGGTTGAAATCCATGTAGACCGAGTTTTGATAGGAAAGGTGAGTTTGGTTTGCTGCTTTGGGTCCCTTCAACATTACAGAATATATCCAGACTGAGCCGAAGTGATCTCACATGCCGTTCTCAAATATTCGCTTGTTTCCATAAACAATCGTCTTTGGTTTGTTATGGTCCCTATCAGTTATGACAAGGGGGAGCCTAGTTTTGCCCTTTCGTGTCTCTGCCATGCTAGCCTGGAGGTGTCACTCACAAAGTACCTTTCCTGAATGAGGAGTGGCCCGCCATACTCGGCGATCCTGTGTAGACTGATTCCCAATTTTTCATTGATCCCGTAGGTTTTCACTCACTTAATCCTTCCATCGCTCTGTTACTTCTGGCTCCAGTATATAAGGCAGATACAACTAACTCACGAGCGCAAATACTCTTTCCTTGATTCGTTGAAGTATCGAAATGCGGCTCAGCTCTAATGACTTCGTCCTGTTATATTCTTTTTTTAATAATCACCTATAACTAGTATTGTGAATTAACTGTGAACTGTTAGCCTTTCCCAGATTGTGTTTTGAAAATCACCCTTAAGGCTTCTTATTGAACAAGAACATAAAGTTTTTTGGGTTTGTTTGTTTTCATAGTATGTTGTTCTCAAGTTCTTGGGCGCAAGAAAAGAAAGTGCAGAAAGGATAGGCGTTCTTGGAGTACACTTCTATGGTTATGAAGTCAAGCCAAACTGCCCTTTAAACGAAGACTTGTACTTGGTAATATTTTTTGTCCGTATTTCACGCTTATGTTTCAACTTTTCAATCCTCTGTTGCGGGTGTACATTAACACTGTTAAGTATCACTTTTGTTGTAAAAATGACGGACACGCAACAGTACTATACAGGAGTTAGTTGTTTCCAACGTCCTGTAAGTAGCATTCGAATAAAGGTGAATTTCCACTGTTGCGTAATTTTTTTCGGCGTACGCACGTAAATATTACGCGCGAAACGACATAGAGTCAGTGTATGGAAGGTCGCGCACAAATGTAACGGTTGAAACTCGCTCAACTTTTACGTTTAGGCGCGGCTTTACATACATTGACTCTATTTTATTAATGGGCGTAAAATTCACGTGGGTACGCGGAAAAAATTACGCGACAGCGGAAATTCACCTTTACTCTCAAATCCATGTACAAGAGACGTTTCAACGCTACTATCTCTATCCCGTTAATAAATGTCGTCAGACTAGACGAAGGGTATTTACGTTGAAATTTACTTGAAGTTGTCATTGGTTTCGATTAGAATGATGTTGCTCCTGTTCCAAGTGGTCAGACAGTGGATGGCTCCACTCTGTTTATCAGAGTTTTATCATTTCTTGACGAAATGGCAAAGGATCAGGTACTACTGTTTGGTGGTTCGTACAGTTTTAGCTTTGTTAATGTATTTATTGTAGTCAAGTTAGTCGACATGCAACATTTTACATGTGGCGTTAGCTGTATCGGGCGCATGGGCTACTTCGTTTTTCTCGCACAGAAATCGTATTAACCTGCAGCATAATACTATAAAATCAATGCCGTCACAGCCGATTGTCTTGGTCACAGCTCGTTCGTCCCTGAGGTTCAACGATCTATAACGTAACTTGCCTAAACCCTCTGGTTAAGTCATTACTTTTCCCGATTTTGTCGGCATTTTGAGATCATTCTATCATATATATATTTATATATGTTTAAATTCCAGATTCACGTTAAATCAAGACCAAAGAACCCTCCCATGTATAAAGAGAAGGTGCGTATATATATTCATAGAATCATAGCCTCCATCTTTTCACACTGATGAATCCCGCTGTACACATCCAATATCGTCTAACATTGGTAGATCCAACAAGATTGAATGATATTGGTGGCTTTTAATTAGTTTAAACTCATTTAGTTCTGATACAACATCAATCAACAAGGTCCAAAATGAGCCAATAAATCAACGAATAGCGTCCAACAATGTTGGATGAGGTCGGACCAATATCTTGGAATGATCCTGAAATGATCCTTTGTCCTTCTTGGATAACTCTGCGTGATTTAAAAGCGGCAAATGTAAGTGCACGTGCTTGAGATTGTTTATTCCTTCATAATTATGACAAAATGAAAAACAGTGTGGCGAAGAAAAATGTATAGATCTATTTTCGCCGATTTTCGCCTCATTGTTGAGTACTTCATGAGATATTTCCGGTCGTCGTTCGTTATTGCATCCATAAAGGGCGCAACATAAGCATCATGTCATCTTCGTATTTGCCTTATTTGTTTTTGATACTGCGAATTCTTCATTATTACAGAGTAAACATGCTCAACCACGTTCTCTTTGCATTGTCTGTTTTTGTAACAGTGATAAATATACTGTTCTTATATCCTGTTTGTATGTAAAGAGAGTTTGGTGTAACATCTTAGACTGACTTATCGTCCAATTTTTTAAATGTTCAGGAGGGTCAGCTAGAGTTAAGCAGTGTCAGTCTTGAGCTCATCTGGGATGTTTATACACTTGTTACAAGCAGGTAAATATCCGCATCATTCCTCGTAGTTTCCAGCAAGCAAGGGTGATCTTAACTCTAGTGGTGACCAACTCAGCAGCAAGGTTGAGTTTAAACTGTACCAACGAACAACGACACATTTAAATAATCAATGAAAATGCAATCTAGGGAGTCTAGCGACACTTTGGACTACAAGCAGTGACTACGGAAGTGTCTAGTACGGTAACGGGAAGTAATTTTTTCCCGCCAAGTAGGGAGTTAAAGACACCAAGACGGCGTTAGTGGGGAAAACGTCGCTTAAAAAGTGAATTCGCATTATTTTCCGAGTCTTTACTGCGATTATTCCAACTCATTTACTTTTGAAATGCAGGTGGACTCTTCTGAAGTTGAAATCATGCAATAATCCCCGACATCGAAGAAATGTAGAAAAAATGTGGTGTAAATTATGCAAAGTTTTCAAGTTTTGTCAGCTCTTGGTTATTCACAGCACTTGGTGAAGTATTGACCTCTTTTCCATCTACTGTATTTTGTGTATTTACAGCTGTACTTTTCAGAAGTTATCAAGGATGACAAAAAAAAAAGGATAAAATGCGTATATGATGCAATTTTGTTTTAATCACCGGTGCACTTAGCATGAAAAATACACCTAAATACTTACTTACTTCACGACCACAGCGTGAAAATGTCTAATTGTACGTTTTGTGGGGGGAGTAAACAAGCGACGACAAAATTTTCTCTTTCTAGTTCGCCTACATTTGGCAAAGAAAGAGAGTTAGAATTATCACTTTAAAGACTGAAATAACGCGACTTCTATTTTTAATTAAAAAGCGAAGTTTTTACTGCTCTCGCGAGGCACTGAGGGGTGGCGGGAGAAAATTACTGCCGGTCTCCACTACTTCCGTAGTCGTTGTTTTAGGTGGCTCGACTGGATTTTTTGGGGTTGATACTACCCAAGTTTGAGCATTAACTACGTCGGCATGAGTAAAGATATGAAAAAAGGTTACCACAACTGTATTATATACAGATGGAAACTTCTTCTGATCTGGGTTTCATTGCAATCGGAGTCGCCATGGCAACGTAATGACGCCATTACGTTTTTCATTTATCGTTGTGTTTCTCTGCACCAGGAGTTTTTTGAAAAAATCGCTTAAGGGAGTATGTACCTGCCATAATTGCCTCCATTATCGCAAAGTTTGAAGAAATTCTATGAGAGCGTTTTCGAAATATTTTGAAATGCAGTTTTAAGAACCATCAAAGCAGTGAAATAGCATGCTAGCCGCGAAATTCGCTAATATTTTAAGAAAATGATAAGCTTTGGAATCGCAGCTTCATCTCATAGTGGTTTGATTCCATTCAAAACTGCATACAAAAAAAGAGGGGAATTGCTCTGGGCGATCGCGAGTAAGAATAATTTTATTAACTTGTATTCAGCTGCTTTTGATACAGTTTTTGGAGGTAATTTGGTCCATGCCTAAAAATTTCGCATTTTTCCAAAAACCGCTCGATAATTTTTTTTATAAATTCGACAATCCCGAGATCAATCGTCAAGAAATATTATGGTATTGTTTTCAAGTTTCATATGCACGTGCACAACTAGCAAAAGATATAAATTTGCATAATTAATATATTCCATGTAGTTATGAATATCTGAGTGCGGAGTGAAGAATTATATGAAAGAAGATCATAGCAATTATAAACGCAACTTTTACAGTTGCGAAAAGAAAGCCTCAAAAAAAATTCAGGCTCGTACGGGATTCGAACCCTTGACCTTTCTTTTCTGGCTCGCTTTTCGCAACTGCAAAGGTTACGTCCATAACTGCGATGATCTTCGTTCATATCTTCATCCACTTACTTAGGCATATGAAACAAAGCAACTTCATTTCATCTCTCAGTTCTTATTTTTGTCACTCTTCGTAACATTTCTTCAGGTCAGTAAATTACCAGTCCTGTTGTTTTGGTTTATAGGGACTTGAAACACAAGAAAGTAGTTGTGGCGAGTCTGCTCCTTCTTCGTCTGTTATACCAAAGCCTTCCTTTTCTCAAGTCTGGTCTCAGGGATTTAGCTTCTGATACCTCCGATAAAGCCGCGTTTGAAAAGGTGTGGTTACTGAAACTATTGCCTTTACTAAAATGTTAGTGTGTAAAGTACTAATCGCTAATTGAGAACACTGCTTTCATCTCGCCTATTGGAGACGGTATCGCTATTCTGCAATGTCGTTATTTAAAAAAGACACCAAAAACGCACTCTATGCATCTACATAGAATGCCACCAAGGTTCCATGCAAATTTAGACTGGCTTGCATGGCTTGCTAGGATTAATTGTTTTAGTGCATCAAGTCATTATTATGGCAACGTTAAACTGTGAGAACATCTTTAAATTGTCCTGAAATATCAACAGGTCGACATTTGTTATGCCTTCGAACCTCAGATTCAGTTTATCCAGAGTCGAGTTGGGATATTATGTGTCTGCAGTCTTTGATGTTGTGGATATCTGACTCACGAGATTTAGCTACAAAAATAATATATTTTTCTTCTCTTTTCTGCAGCAGCATCAACTCTCCTCCAAGATTTTTTCTTACTTGTGTGAAGTTGTTGACGACGATAAAGATGTTTATGATAAAAAGATTTATGAGATTTCAAAACTGATCATACTAGAGGGTAAATAGCCTATTTTGATATAAAGCCGTTCTCTGTGAAATCAACTCGCATCAAGCTTGAATTTTTCCAGATTTACCCAGTTGTAGCTGCATTAATTAGCAACATCTTGTCTTGCAGTTCTCCCCCCCCCCCTCCCCCCCGCCCCCTAAAGTTGAAACTAGGGAAAATTTCTGGATACACTCGTCCAAATTTGTTTGCGAGGTGAGGGGAGGGGCTGGGCGTATGTGAATCGGAAAGCTGGAAAACGCCCCAGAAAAGCAAAAGTGTCCCAAGACTTTTGTCCATGTTTGTAGTTCTACTATTCGAACGCTAGTGTAGTTTCTCAGTTACTTCATGGATAGCTGTAACAAGTGGAAAGGTCTTTATGCGGTTTTTTTTTAAGTCAAAGTGTTACCAAACGTGAACTTTTGAGTGGAACTGATGACTTTCCTGGTTCTTGCTGTTGCAGGAGCGGAGATTTTCTTTCCGGACTCACAGACGAGACGAAACCACTTATTGTCAATGGTGGATCAAGTGATGGAGGAGAAGAAGGCAGCATCTCTTGGACTCACATTTGAGTCGCTCTGTAGATTCTTTAGTAATAAAGATGCCAGCGGTCTCTTAGGACTTCCTGATAATGTCACTGCGGTATGTTCATGTATTATCATAACGGAATGGCCACCCTTGTTAATTCATTTTATGTCACAAGTGGTATCTCCACCAATCTATGGTTTTACAAGCCTGTTTTATCAGTCACTTTGACTTATCCTTTGAAAAGAATTTTGTTCACATGTAGTGATCGACAGTTCAACGTGACTGTTCAAATTAAAGTCAGGGCTAGGTAGTAGAAAGGGTGCGTTGCGGGGAGCTATTATAGCTGGCGGCTGTATTGAAATGGTAGACTACTTATCACAAAGATGTTGCTAGTTCAATTGTCTGGCCTGATTTTACCATGTCTGAGTCAATGTAAGCCTTAACAAAATTTTTTCGTCTTGCAGGAGTAATAGTATTTTATTTGTGCGTTTTTGTTTCATATTGAATCTCAATTTCAATTTTTTCTGAATAATGTATACCTCCTTCGCTTAATAGAGGGTCACAAGTTTATCAGTTCTCATTGTTACCCCCTCTTTAAATAAAATCTCCACGCCTAACCGGTTACATGGTACACTTGAAAACTTTAATTCCTGGTATCAGAGAAAGAGTTTTAAACCAAAATGGTTTTGAAAGTGTTGCCACCAAGCTATCCTCTGAAACGTTTTTAAATATTCCTTTGTACAGTGGTAATGAATATAAACTATACTCTTATGTTGCAGGAGGGGTTTGACTGTGGTCCTGTATTAGCTGTTATGACCACACTTTTGACTGTAGCATTTCAAGAGGTAGGTATGATCATTATGAATTTGTATTTATTCCACGAATCAGCATTGATCATGAGTCTAATCTGATTTTTTAAAAGATAGCTTTGACCACTTTTTAAAAGTTAAGTTAAATGTCAATTTTTAGTGCCTTCATTGCTTGGAGTCAGAGGAGAGTGGTCACAGCGAGTCAGCATCAAACCTGGTTCAGTTACTATGTGCCATGCAAAGAAGTCTATTAACATGGTGCAACGTACAGATTAGAGATGGAAGTTCTTTTGGGCACAGCGTCGCTACTTCTCTTATAACAGACTGTAAGTGCAGTTAATATTTTCCGAAAGTTAAGGAAAGAAAACGTGACAAAAGTGATGACGGTTCGCGGAGATCTGAAAGCCAACTTGAGCAATGACAGAACTGCAATTTGAGCAACGGAGGTGGCGTTCAGTCCCTTTCGCGCGCTTTCTCCCCCTCATTTGACGTTGCGTTGTCTGCTTGCCCATTTTGTTAGAGTTAAAAACTTCAAAGTCAGTTAAGTGTAAAGGGAATCTGAATTGTCCGTCTGTTTTTGCAAGGCTTCTCGTTCTCTATATTTGGCGTCACTTGCCAATCTTTCATTCATACTTGTACGTTACGGTCCAGTTCGGCGATATTAGAGAAAAAAAAATCATTGCATCTCATTTCTATAACTTCATTACATTTTTTCTAGATCTGACATAACCTATTGTATACTACTACACTTGGATTTTAACGTTGCACTACAATAAGCTAAAAAAGAGTTGATCCTAGAATGGCATATTAATCAGTCTTTCATTTGTTGTTATTGTTTTTGCAGATGTTGAAATATTAGCCAAGAAAGTGTTTCTGTCCCTGCAGGCAGTGAATGAATCACGTGACCAGCTGACTGTGATTGACAGACTTGAACATTCTTACGTTTCCGCGGCAATGAGGCAGCTGGTATGTTAATTATCTTAATTCTTGTATAAGGCATTTTCTATAAGGCAACCTTTTGCACCTTATTCTCCACTGAACAATGAGGCGTGAGCACAATGCCGCATTCGACTGTTATTGTACCATGAAAGAGAAATTTCAAACACAAAATATCAATTTTAACACTGACATATCTTAGTGTTCCGATTTAAGCCAGAAATAAGGTGATTTCCTTTGATCACCCGAGACATATTTTGCGCAGTGTAGCCCTTTTACGATCATTGAAATTATCAAATAAGATGTGGTGGTTCAAAATCTTAGAATGCTGGCAACATACGAGTTGTTAGTCTATGCACAGCACTACCACCGTTGTAAAGGTTTTCGGTGTTTAAACGTCGTTTCGCAACACGACAGTTTCTCTTCTTAATATTTTCCAGGTTCTGTTTCTGAACTTGTTTACAAATGTGGACGCCATCTGCATGCCGGTACTGAGAAGTCTACAGCCTGTTTGTCTCGAGTTAAAAAGGTTTTCAAATAAATATCCAGAGCTTTTCTTTAAGGTAACGCTGCAATATTCTTGTTTGTGGCAGTTTCAATTCACACTTAATTAATTACAGACATTTGGAAAGAGTGTATTTTTTAAATGTTGTTTTGCATGCATTATTTAAGATTGATTCTGAAGAATGGAACAAGACCCAAGGACAGACAGTACTAAGAACTTGGGAAGTTGAATCGTTACACAATTACGAGAACAACCAAGACATAAAAATGGTTTGCCAAGTTTTCTATTGACTTAAAATAAAATTAAATTAACCCCTAATAATTCCCAAAGTAAAACGAAATTACAAAACTTCAAATTTCCTTTTTGTAAAATCCTACGATTTGAGTAAGACTTTCACAACGTTTTGCCATTAGAATGGAAACATCGTGGAATTAGGCTCACAAGTTAAATAGTTAGAATAAAAAATCATCATGCTATAACTTTGTGTAGGTTGTTGTTGTTGTGGTTTTTACTTGAAAATACACTAGTTTGTTGTAAACAGGCTTAAAAACGATGATAATATATTGTATTAATTTCTTATTGGTTCAACAATTTATTCCAGGTGTTTAGCTGTCCTGGCTGTTCTGAATTCACGGTTGATTTTGATTCTCGCTGTGAAACAGAAAGAAGGTTTGCGTACTTATTTTTGTATTAGGATTTGTTAGCTCATTTTGTAGATGCTGCTCTGACCACACAGCCATTTTCTTACCTCAATCGATAACAGTATTAAAAACCAAAATCAAGCCAGCTGGTTAACTCGTTGTCCGCTTTTTGGATTCCAAATTAGAAGCCTTTTAAAGTTTAAGATACCACAGAGGCACTCTACAGCCAGTTTTCCTGTGCTAATTGAAGTAAATGTTGTTATAGTACTTCTGAATGATTGTATTCTTCTTCTAGATATGATTACTTGGAATTTACAGATTCAAATGGCAACAAGAAACGATTTGATCAAAAAGTTGACACAGATAAGTGGCCAAAGGTAGGATTAACAATGTTTTGTTAAGAATGGTGTTCTTCAGTGAAAATCCAAATTTATGATTGTTATGTGCTATTTTCGAACTTCCTTTATTTGTCTCTCGTAAGTTTAAATCTTGCAATACTTATTCAGCACTTCCTTTTTCTGTAGAGCGTTAACTTCAAAGCTGGGAATCGTCTGCTTTTTAATTTTCATTCAGATGGAAGTAACAATGAATGGGGTTACAAGTTCACGGTAAGCCTAGAAAGTTGTTTAGCACCAGCTGACAAGATAAGGAATTATCGGCGATTTAGTACCGTTATTATTATTATTGCCCGCAAAGCTGCTTGATTGTCGTCATGCAGCAACTGATCCTGTTGAATGTCGACAGGTGACCGCTAAAGGCTCCCCAGATGTGGCGTTATCATGGATTTTTGATCTTCAGCTGGGGATGGCTCGTTTGTTTGGTCAGCTCTGTAGTGCTGCCTTGGACAGTAGAAAAGGTAATCAACCTTACAACAGCTAATATGGCGGCTAACAAATTGCCACGTTAAATAGACGCCTTAACATGATCAAACGATTATTAAATATTTCACAACATTTCTCTATGAATTTTAGCCTCCCTAACTCCGTCAAATGTTGTCAATGAAGAAGAAACCAAGTTACTTCACAGTGAAATATGGACCACTCTTTTCCGTGGAGGATACATGACTGGAAAACTTCAAAGGTCTCTTTCTGGTCACCATGTAAGTCATTTCAGTGATTTTAACTGAGTATTAAGTGGCTTTACGGTGCGTCATGTCCTACTTTTAAAGGAATATTATTACAGTTCTACTAGATCTAAAGAATTTTGCATAGTTTAACAAGACTGCCTTCACACGACTCTGGGTAGACTGTTTACACCCTCCCATCTTGATCCGTAAGATCGTCGTCGAGATCGAGCTCTCGTTGGGCGGCCGTGACGGTTTGAAATAAACCGTAGGTGAGGGCGTGGGGATTAGTGAGAAGCGGCAGAGCAGGGTTTGTTGGCCGCTCCCTCCCGCTCCCCCCCCCCCCCCCCCCCTCGCGATGTTTTTTTCTCCCTCTCCACCCCCCCCCCTTGTTCAACAACAAACAAACACCCCCACGGACGCGTAAGAGGCGGTAACACCTCGCTACTACCAGACACAACAAAGGGGCGTGACTGTATATGGAATGTGTATGTGTATGAAAAGACACCCTCCCGCGCCGCGGTGGAGCTCGTGAGCCCCCCCCCCCGTGCCCTTGCACATGTCGCGCGGGCGCGTGCGCCGGTGTGGGGGCGCGGGAGGGGTGGAAAAAACAGAAGGAGAGGGGGGGGGGGGGGATGTAAAAAGGGGCAGGGGGGTGTTTTGGGCGCCCCCCCCCCCCCCCCCCCCCCCCCCCCCCCCCTTCTAGGTAGATATTTGTACTCCTTTCCAGGCTGCACTTGCATTTAAAGCCAAGATAAACCATCCCGGCGTTACAGTAAGCGGCAGTCCATCTTAGCGATATCACGAAACAATAGGGAGCTGTAATTGTTAAGACTCTGCGAGAAGGCGGACTTGCTAGACTCGTCGGCAAGCTCTTTCTTACCAACAGAAATAGTTCTCGGAATGTCAGCTGTTTGTGTTTCCCTCCACCACAAACGTAGCACCACCGCGGGTTTTTTAACCTGACCCGTTTATCCCTTTACGGCTTGTGACAGTTTGTCAAATACGGAGTCCTCGATGAACAAGCAGCAAAGAACCGAGGCCTTGATCCATAGCTGGCAATGTTCTCCATGAATATATATATATGTACCCAGAATTTCGTTTGTGTCCTATGAATGATACAAGGGATAGGAAAAAAAAATCTAAATCATACTTTTACTGCAATCCTAGGTGAGGAAAATGTATTTCATGTTGATCCCCCTTTCCCCTTGAACAGTGTTGGGTGTTACAAGCCAAACACCTTTTACAGGACCTCAACTTTGTTCGAGGAGGAGTGGGGGGGGGGGGGGGGATTCTTTTAAGGCCGGTTTTTAGGGGTTTTTTTTGGGGTTTGGCTGCAAATTCAAAAAAAAAAAACTTTAAAAAGGGGGGGTGCCCCAAACCTTTCGGCCCAGGTTTTTGGGTGGATTGTTGTTTTAACTGAAAAAAAATTTTACCTTCCAACATTACAAGTTTTATTTTTCCCCCAGGCACAAAAAAATATATCAGTTTGTTGTGTTCATAAGAAAAGTAAAAAAAAAAAAAAAACACATATAAAATTACTCTTTCTCGAGAGGCTGTGAGAAAAAAATTTTTTTTTCTTTCCTCCCCCCCGTCCTCGGGAGTGTGGGGGGGGGGAAAAAACAACACCCCTTTTGGGGGGTTTTGGTTTGTGGGGGGGGGGGGGGGGGGGGGGGGGGGGGGGGAATCTTGTTAAGGCCGTGTTTATGAGTTTGTATTGCAGGTTAGCTGCAAATTCCATATAAAAACACGTTGAAAAGGGGAGGTTTCCCAAAACCTTTCGGCCAGGATTGTAGGTTGAATAGTGTTTTAACTGGAAAACAGATTTCACCTTCAACAGTATCAGTCTTGATTTTTCCCACAGGCAACAACAAGTTATCCAGTCGAGAATTCGGTCAACTCATTCTTGCACACAATAACTGGTAGAACAGAAGGACCGCCTGAAGTGACAATGGAAAAACTTATAGCGAAGTGAGTAAAATTGTTCGCGTGAGCGACAGTAACTTAAAGAAACGTCCACTCCTCCATTCAGTTTCAGAGATCGCGATTTTTACCGGACTCAAGAAATTAACACTTCATAGCAAAATAGAGAAGGGAGATGTGACTCGAAAGTTAGAATAACCTTATTACGTGATGCGTAAATATTAATTTGGGTATCCTTTCATCAGGTGTCGTGAAAAGGCTCCTGGGCCCTTTATAGGAGGTCCTCTGGTAGACCAAGCTGTAAATGCTGTGTTTGCTGCTCTTGTGTGGCATTCTCAGGAGTTGAGGGACCAAATAGTGCTGTTTTGTAAGTTAATTGTGTTTTTTTGGCTGTTTTTAGCTCTCTTTTGCCACGTGGTATCAAAAGTGAATCTTCTATGTAACAGGTCCCGAAGGTTAATTTGAAGGATTATTAATTAAAAGTGCCAGCAAAGTTAAAATAGATCAGATTTTAATCGATTTATCTTTCGTTGTCTCTTACCTTTTAACTCGGAAACTAACAGTTTGCGATACTCATTCTCATTTAAAAATTCTTGTAGCTTGATTGATTGATTGAGTCAATGACTGATTTTTCATTTGTGTAATGTATTCAGCTAATAACACACCACCAGAAGCTGTTCCAGAAGGCGTTCAAGAAGCTTATTTAACAGCTGAGTCACTTAGGCGTGTACTGGTAAGCAAGCTCTACTACTGCGCCCGCCATGAAAAATGTCTATAAATGAAATGTGTGCTTTTTTATTTTGGAAAATTCAATTTATTTGAAAGGGGTGTCTTAAAGCTCAAATCGTGGAAACGACTTTTATATCAAAGATAGAAAGTACAAATTGCCAAGACGAGCTAAATTCTCCTTAGAACCTTACATTTCATTACTTGACGTCTCTGCTTTCAGAACGTACCAAACTATGAAGCGCACATGCAACAGACTTGTTAAAGTTATGTTGTTGTTGTTGTTAAGATTGTTTCTGTTTCTTTAAATCACTTGCGATGGCAATTATGGAGATAGAGGGCAAATTCTGTGATCCCCGCAAAACTTGTACTGCAGTGTTTTCACATGGCGGCGCTCCTTGCCGATATCAGTACTTTTCAATCTATCGATTTATTGGCTACTCACGGCAGCTGGAGTATTACACCTATTTAATTTTATTTGATTTAAGGGCCGTTTTCTTTTCCGTCCTCGTCGTGGTTGTTAAGTCTTCGTTAACACTCTTTCAAGTGGTCGTGTCGCAAAAATCCGTGTATCAAGCTGCTCACCTTGTTCTGCAGTCATCCAGTAAATGTTGGTTTAATTTCCAGGTTGATCGTCGTCAGCGTCTCATTTTACAAGCTGAAGAAGAGTCTAACAATGATAAAAGCCTACCACAGAAAACAGATCCAGACAGCCCTGGTAAGCTGCTGCTGCTTCCCGGGCTCCTTTCATGATTCCTCAAAACTGAGACCTTGATACAGTTCACCACTATTTATGTTCTTTACATTATTTGTTTGCAGTGATTGCTTGCAAGGAAAAAGCTCAGTTCCTTCTCAAGTTTGCTGGGCTGCAAAGAATAGCTGACAAAAGCGCCGAGGTACTTCCTCGTTACAATGTCTTGTTACAATAGCCGTTCGATCTCCCTACATAAATAAGGAGGAAGGGCCTCTGCTTTCCGCAGAGTATTTGTACATAGCTTTGGGTTGCTTACTTCCTGTATTAACTGTGTACATTGCTTTAGGGAAGAGAGAACAGGCGCTCCAAGTGGTTAAACAGGAAGTCATCTTGGCAACGATCATCTTCTGAACATGGAGGAAGCATCTTATCAGGACCCAGACAGGTTAGTGAAAACTCTGACCACTGAACTGATTTTGGTAATTTAACTACGGATAATTTCAAGTGATACCATAATAATCTTTTAAGTTTGGGCTCTTAGTACGAACTGCACGTGCTACACGAACGGCTTCTCGATTACTCGCGCTTTCATCAGGACATAAGTCTATAGTTTCACGGCTAGATAAGGGACTGGACCCTACTTACCCTTTGATATATATCTGATACTTGTTTTTCGCATCGTGTTAGTTTCATTTTATCCTCTCATCTTAGATAGGAGTCCATTGACTTACGGACAAAGTTAAATGAGCAGCTTTAATTGACTGTTACACAGAATGATGAAAGGACGAAATGAAACAAACACAATGCGATAAACTAGTACCAGAACTCTATCACTGAGTTAGTAGTGTCCAGTCCCTTATCCAGCTGGCACTGAGAGTGATAGACGTATTATGCTCCTCTCAGCATATTTGCATTGGAACACATCACTGCTAGTGCCCGCCAAAAATATGCTTTAGTTCATGTGCTCTTTGAGTAAGAAGCGTCAGCTTCTTCAATTTGTGTTGGAAAATTAAGCTTTAAGGATTTAGTATTTACCATAAAAAAAACTACCTTCTAGTGTTATCTACCTACACATATTCTAAAATTACAGTCTCAGTGCTTCTCAAACAAAAGATACTTGTATAATTACGTTCAGGTGAAGCCGCCGCTCATGTGAGCCCATACATTAAAGGGTATTATTGTGATACTCGCAGAAGGCTATGACCTCAGTTCTACCTACCACCTTTCCTTTTAAACCTCGGGGCCGCTGTAGGAATCTTCTTCAGACTGTATGTAGTATTACCTCCATTACTTATTTTACGTTTTTGCCGCAGAGAACACTGTCTGTTGAGGAAATCCGGACCATTGACAAGCACCCTGCATTTAAACTGATTCTGGACTTTGTGACAAATGATTCTTATTCTCATGAAAGGTAACTTTCGTGTTTATTGAAGACATAACTAATGTGTATTCAGGTCTTTAAATCTTCATACTTCCGTAAATACTAGAGTAAAAAATGTTTCATGAAGTGAGATAAACCTTTTGTTGTGATATTTTTTTTATGTTTTCATAAAGGACACAAGCCCTGCTTAAGCAGAGAGTGGAACATGCTAACACTGTAGCTGATATTTACCTATTTGCTGCTGAGTTCCTCCGCATTTCGTCCGAAACAGATCTTGTCCAGGTACGTGCGATACTCACATTTATGTTGTACTCAAGCTCGAGGCAAGCAAGGAGGTAGTTTTTGTTTGAGAGGAAGAGGGGGTTGACATGTTGAACGCGATGTAAAGAGAACGAAAAGGAAGCACTAAAAATAAGTGGTTATAGGACTGGAAAGGTCGCAGGACATACCTAGACATGAAACACAGACCAGCATCCAAGAAGCATAATAATTTTCTCTGCTTTATCCTTTTTCTTTTGTTTTGCATTCTGTACAGGCCCCTGCTGTTCTCTTTTTACAACAGTTTCTGTCATCTCAAAAATACTTCCCAAGGTAAGCTGCTGTTTAGTGTTACTACAGTTATTTTGACACCGAGAGAGAAAAAATATAAACAAATAAACAAATAAATTCTCTGTTACACCAGACACAGCATTTTTAAGATTATATAAAGCGCACTATTTACGTAGCTATGCTGTTTCTGTTCCGGCAGCCACTATGCAGACAATCTTGATGGATGCGGCTTAAGTTTGGAGAGTAAAGTTCGACGTGCCTACTATGCACTGGTCAGAAGATGTTTAGATGGAGTTAAATCTTACCATACACAAGGTTCTAGCCAAAGGTGCGTCAGTACTGGTCTTTCCTTTGCTGACTGAAGAGAGACTGTCTCCTATGTTGAATGTTTCTAGAATTCATATTCTCATTGTTATTTTCCTAGTTGATGGCCTTATGCAATGACGTAATCTTTCGAATTTCTGATGCTTTTGTAGGCCAAGTTCTGCTGCATTTCATTGTTTGCGAGCGTTTGTTCTACATCTACTCGATACAGAGTGGAAGGTTTGTCTCTCTTCGATTATAATCTACCTGTCCATTTTTCTTTCCGCTGATTGCTATTAAGCGTTGGTGGTCCACGTTCGCTTCCATCCTTTCGTTTTTTATCACCATCCTCGGTGCTTTCTGACACTGCTTGCTCAAACAGTCTTACAATGAGGACGCCTCTCATGCACGTCAGGTAATAACCAACTCAAACATTAACGTTCAAAAGGTTCTCTTGAATTATGTTTTGATAGGGTTTTTTTTTAAATTTACCTCCGGGAACTCGGCTATTTTTCTTATCCATTGCTTTGTGACACAAGGAGTTTTGCGTAATTTTGTTTCTCCCTCCTTGTCAAGTTTTTAAACAGTTTTTATTTTTGTGTTGTCTTCGTAGGGTTACGATCACACTTTCATTCTCGATGTTCATCTGCCAGAGTTCCTGCTAGACACATTAAAAGGTTAGAAACTTAAAACTGTTGCCGCCGAGTGGGCTTAAGCTTAATAGAGCTGAACTTTTAGCTGCTTCAAAGCCTTACTGCAGGTTTAGGTTTCTTTTGCTTTACTTTGACCAGAGATTTTGAGGTGAAATTAATCCCTATCTTTATCGGATCTGTTTTGCAAAGTAAGGTTAACCAGCGACATTTTTTCTGTATTTCTATCATCAGACAAAAGAGAAAAAAAATCAGTTAAACATGTCACAAACACGCGTGGGAGTCAATGTAGCTTATATTGAAATGGCGGCAGTTGGATGTAGATATAAGTAGAAAAAATTGCAAAATAGGTTCTAAGATGTTGTTTTGAATCAGCACAAGACTTAGTTAAAACTTTCCCGGAGGAAGTAAAAATTCTGAGTATAATATACAAAGTACAATTGTTTGAAACTCAACGTTGAAGTTTTCTCATTTTATTTACCCCAGCAACCGTTGTGCACCCGAAACACGATGTAAGGGACATGAATGATCAGCAAGAACTGGAACACTATGAAGAAGGCAATAAATGGCTGGATGAAGCTAAAGAAAACTTTGATAATTGGTTTGAAGGCATGAGGACTTTAGCACAGACAGACCAACAGAGAAGGGTTGGTAACCAAGCATCGTATAGACAGTTCGATAAAGTAATTCAAGGAGCTGTGTCACGGCTTTCGTAAAAATTCTAGCCGTAGGAACCGCCACCAAATTGAGTGAAACATGAAAATAATCGCCAACAGAAGGTATTGATAAATACAAAAGTAGGCGCGGATGGACAAACTTCAAGAAGACTTAAACGGGTTGAAATTGTGGGTTTTTGAAAAACTTTTCCGCCTCACAGTTTTTCAGAGTTCATTTTTGTTGTTTAAGTAACGTTTGATACAATGCTTGGGAAGCATATTTGTTGAACAGGAAGCTGTGGGTAAGCAATTTCTTCGTTAACGTTAAGTTTCATAGCGTGTAAGGGACTGTAATTGGCAATATTAACAAAATAAACTAGACAACAGCCATGAAACTGCAGCCTCCTTAACAAGAATCATCTGGTTTTATGAAAGAACTGCAGTGAGGCGCGCTCTCTGATTAGCCAATGAATAGTATGCTATTTGTGCAGGTTGGCGCTAAGGAATACTGCTGCGTTCTGTGTTTCCAATTTTTGTAGGCATCCATGCTCACGGTGTCTTACATCAGTACTCAAGCCTGTTTTGATGAGTCGTGTCACTGTTACGTCACGTTGTTTTGATAATTCTGTTAATTCTGCTGTTTTGTTATTCAGAGAATGCATTTGTTTGTGGCTCGCTTCTCCGACAGTCTTGACGTGGTCATAACATGTGATGGCTGTGATGTCACCCTGACAGGCAGGCGATACCGATGCCTTAACTGCATGGATGTTGACCTTTGCAATAATTGTTACATGAGTGAGTTGGCTTAGTTTACCAGGTTTATGCTGTTAACGAACGAAATAAAAAAATCAAGAAATAACTGTTAAAAAGGATTTACAATATTTTCATATTTTAATCCCAAATACATTTGTTTCACTTGACCTGGGTGAGTGTATAGAGTACAAAGGCTGTGATAGTAGAGATAGTCCCGACTGAAAATGTAACGAGAATTAATAAAAATCATGGTGTGATAAGATTGGAATTTTATCCACTGTGTCTGTGCGTTTGTCTGAGGAGGGAAAGCAGCTGATCGGTTTAATAACTTTTTCAAACTAGTATTTTCCTTTGTTTCCTTTGTTTCCTTCGTTTTTTCTTTTTTCCAGCTGGAGTGAAGCCTGACGGACATGCAGAATCTCATGACGTCATAGATATGAGGTGGTGTAGGAAGATCTTGTTTGATGCCTAACAGTAACTTAGTTTATTTGTTTCCTCTTTAAACAAACACAAATCCGGACAGTTTGTGGTAAAACGTAATTGTACATGCAATTTCCACTGAGTGAAAGCGGAAATGTGTTTCCTGCTACCTAGACCATGCCCCTCGAGCGATTTCGCGTTCGAGTTGGTAGGTTACATGGTCGCCAAAACTCGCCGTATTTTCTTGTTAATTGGGCAGTTTGGAATGTTGACAAGGTAAAAAAAGGGCTTGAGACCTGAGCAGCTACAGTGTACAGTTAATCAGAGCAAAATTTAGAGCAAAGTAAATGGCAACCTCAAACAACACAAAAGTAATCATCAGTCAGACAATGTTGCAAAAAAGGCAGGGGTGATGGATAATGACATTTGTTTTAATTGCGTTTGTGTAACTGATTTAATTTTTTAGATACAAATGTGATGGTTGCGACAGCTTTATCGTTGGAACACGTTACCACTGTACTGAGTGCGATGACTTTGATTTATGTTTTGGTTGCCATTCAACGGGAAAGTTTCCTGGAAGGTAAATACACATATTTTTTAAGCACAGATCCCCAAGTTAGTAACTGCGCTGTGATATTTTGACTTTAGAGATATTCAAGGGCCATAATATCTTGAAATATTACAATGCAATTATCTATTTTAAGTCGCTTTTTCGACCCACAGTGTACTTAGGTAGGCTGAAAGCGTGCTGGCTAAGATGCTATTCATTCTTGTTTTCAGTCATGAAACTTCCATTTTTGCCTACTACGCTCACTCTTGACGTCTGCTGAAGGAAACATCTTTTTTGTTGTATTGACAGTTTGTTATTTTATTTTAGACACACTGCATCCCATAAGATGATGAAATTTCCCCTTAAGACAGGTAAGAAGAGATGTTTGTTGAAAGAATTAGAACTACTAAAGCCTTCCATTTCTTTCTGTAAATTATATATTTATTTTCCCACAAATTTTTATTTATTTATTTATTTATTTATTTATTTTTTGTGATCAACATTTCATCCAATAGGCCATTTTACAGTTGCGGGCTTAGTATCCCAGCTTCTGAGGGAAATTGAGGCTGAGGATGGCCTTGTTTTGATATAAACTTCCTTCCTCAGTTCTCTAATGTAAATTTTACTTGAAAACTTCTATTTGGCATAAGAAGAACATGATTTACATAATAAAACTGGAAGAGCTGTATCAAAACAAGGTCAACTCCAGCCTGGTTTCCACCTGTAACTGTAAAGTGGACTATTTTACATTATCCATTGAAAGAGAAGTGGAAAGAGCACACAAAATCACCTCCATATGGTCCTCTGCAAGACTGTTTTGTCTGAAGTATTTTGTGCCACTTCTGTTTAAATGTGTGCCTCTTTTGAATGAATTTTCGTTTTATTGCTTGTTGTTTTTTACATATTTGAATTACAGACGGAGACACGTTCCCACAAAAGTAGCTTGTTGTTGTTGTTATTTTTTATGTACAACTAATAAATAAGAATTTGAGTAATGTGTGTAGCCCTCCAATAGTACTTTCTAATACTGTGCGTGTGCCTTAACATAAACGAAAAAACTTTCTTGTGGTGTAAGTCCATGTAACGTTTTGGATGATTGTTTTAATGTGTTGAAGGTTCCTTTGTAGACACAACAGCAAATGATCCATCAATTCGTGTACAGGCCTACACCCATCATCATGCGTGGCTTCAGTTCGCAGCTTTAGCGCTCACGCTGGCAAACTCCATCAACGAACCAAACAAGTCTGGTAAATACTGTACAGTGCATGAAATTGTTTAGCCTGCGTAGCTGACGTAAAAAGAGCAGGGGGAGGGGGCAGAGGAGAAAGAAGCGTAAGGGAAAAGGGAGAGGATCCTCTCTCCTAACCCCCTCCCTGTTACTCCATTCTCCCAATCCCTTACCCCTTTTGACGCCTGCTACGCAGGGTAGAAATTGTTTTATTTTATCACCTTTACACTCTAAATATTAGCAGAAGTGACAGCCTTGTTGGGAAGTTTTTAAAATTCTTTAAGAAAGCGCTGGAAAGTATTGCTCAAGAGGCTTCATGTATGTGGTGACAGCGCATGATTTTGTTAACAGACTCAAACAATTGCATCTCAATCACAAAGGATTTATGCCACGAAAAGTTTTGTCAATAGGCCATTTGCACGATGGCGTCATTTTACTACTACGACTAGAATCCTTTTCGTTTTTCCTTTCATATTTAAATTTTGTAATCCCAGTGTGGTTTAAATAACAAAAGCCCTAATTTGCACAAGAAAGCAAAACCCTGAAGGATACTGGTCGTAGTAGTAAAATGATGTCATCGTGCATATGGCCTATTAGTGATGTCTTATTAAAGCGGGCACAAGCTTCAGTAAATGTCTAACTATCTTCCCCATATTTTGTAAAGGGAACCTTGGTGAAGCGGACTCTTATATGGAACAAACCCCAGTGACGGTCCCTCGTATGTCAAGTCTGATACTGTGTCAGCTATGTACCCAAAGTCAACCTGCCTAATGTTAAAAAAAAAAACCAAACAGCTTTCACCAAAGTTTGTAAATCAGCTATGTTTTCCTGTCATTGTTAGGCATTAGCCTCACTTACCAGGATTTTCATCTTATATCATCTAAAAGTTGTAATATTTACAGCGTAATTCTTAATTATGACGGAAATTGTTATTCAAATTCAAGAACCATTTGTCGCTTGCCTCCGTGTGTAAATGTGTAGTAACCAGTTAAAACTCTGCTTCTATTATCATCGTATTAGACTACTAATACATTTTTCGTCTTTCTATGCTTATAGTTTTTAACGTAGATTACCTACGGACCGCTGGCCTTCTCCACATTGATTGCCTTAATTTAGTCACCAAGTGTTTAAGCCATGTCTCGCATAAACCAGACACAGGTAAGGAAGTGCTTGTGTTTATACTCGAGTGAGGAAGTGCGTTCGTGACAAAGTAAAAGTTTTGACTTCTCCTTTCTGTGAACGATATAATACCTTTTTACTGAGGTTGACGCCCATTTTTCTTTAAGGATTACTGATATATAGAAATAGTGTTGTTCTTTTAAGTTAAAAGTGTTGAACCCAAGGCATCGAAAGCTGCTGAGACAATTCCCGAGGGAGAAGGAGAGGGGGAAAACCCAGAAGCAGAAGCAACTCCAGAGTCCCCATCTGTATCGGATGAAAAAGTAAATAGAAAAAGTGCTTCCAAAGAACCTGAACAAGATACTAAAGACATTAAAAAGGTAACAGCGACAACAGAGCTAAAGGCGCCTGATGCCAGCACTGCTGTGGCGGAACAACAAACAGCAGATCTAAAGGCACCTGAAGCCAGCACATCCGTAACGGAACTACAAACAACGGCAGGTGGTCAACCAAATGAAAGTGTAGAGAGAAGTGAAGAACCTTCAACTGACAATAAGAATTCTACGTCAGCTGAAAAAATTGATGGGATTGCTAATCAGCAAGGGACAGTAACACAGAGCCCTGAAGAATCTGAAAAACTTTTCCCCCCTGCGGCTCAAGAAAGGTTGTTAGGACTATTGGGAGCGATTCTACCACAAGACTCGAAGGTAACGCTCACAATTTTGATGTAGTATAGAGATACTGCATTGACTCTAAAATGTCTCCATATACATTTCTTTCTCTGGCTCAATGTACTTGAAGAATGGCCCGTTACATTATGTCTACATTGATAAGTTCCATTCTTATAAACAAATTATTTCATTTTAATCACTTACTGAGTTCTTGGTGCTTAACCGCAGCTCTCTCATTGGTCATCGTATTGTCCAGGAATTGAAGACTTTCTGTCCGAGAGATTTTTGCCAGCTTTGTTCAAGATTATCAGGTGCGAAACGATTTTGTTACTTCAATTCGCCACTTTTAACTGTGCCCTGCTAACAAATGACGTGTATTAACTTATTCTTCGTCTATATGCTTTAACAGGGATGGCAATGTTGATGATAATACAAAAAGTCTAGCTCTAGGTGTCCTTGGAAAATTTCTGCAGTGCACTAGCCCGGGTGTAAGTGTCAAAAACAACTTTCTCTTTCTTTCCTTTTGTTGTTATTGTTGTTGTCGTTTTTCAATTTCCTATACGTCTCCAGTTAATTTTATTCATGCTTATTGATAGATCTGATACTACCATCTATAAAAACGTTTTGTAGTCGTTTTTTTTTTTCATGCAGCGTTCAATACACCAGCTTGTTCTTTGCAACCTATCTCTTGTAATTTAGTGAGTGATTAAAATTTTTATTGTTTGTTTGTTTGTTTGCTGCCTACAGCTCTCCGATCGTGGCGTTGCACCATATTCCACATCGCCCGTCAAGACAGAAAGTGAGAGTAGTAGTGAAGAGATTTGTTCTGGCAAAGCAACTGTTGAATTTCTCTTCCAGCTCGGAGCGGAATACCTTTCCAGGTTAGTTCAGCATCAAAAGCGTATTTACAAGGTTAACAAGTGCCTTGAAAGTCCTTGGATTTCATAATAAAAAAAATTAACTGTGTGTGGTCTTCAATGTAGTCATATGCACTTAATGGTTTACGGAAGGTAATGACTCATTCGTGTTGCAGATCTGACCTGACGGCATCGTCTGGAATGGCATCCACATTACAACAGTTGGCCAGGTCAACTCAGTGGCAACCTAGTATAGCAGATCACGTAGGACTCTGTCTTGAACGCTTAGCAGAGCCTGCAGAGGTACAGTAATGTGACTCATTTTATAACTGACAAATTCACAAAAACCTTAAATACGCGACTTCCCTTTTTATACTACTACATGAGAAATTTCTGCAATTTGATTGGCTTAGAGCAGTGGTATTTCAGCTTAATTTGAAATACCTACATGTGAAAATTACAAACCTTTTGTGGGTAGTAGTATAAACAAATAATAGCATGATTTGTACGTGATATTTGGCATAAATACCACTCGTGATATTTCAAAATTGTCTCAAATTTCACTCGCCTAACGGCTCGTGAAATTACGTATAACAATTTTAAAATATCGCTCGTGGTATTTATGCCAAATATCATTACAAATCGTGCTATTACCTATACTAACTGGTTTCTTAGACTTATCTCACTCAAAATTATTAATCAGTTTTACTGTAATGTTATTAATGACTTGGAATTAGCTTTAACATACTACTCTGAAATCCAAATAAACATGAAGACTGAATCGATTCCCTATCCTTAATTGTCTCCGATCTATTACCTTATCCCGCCTTGCCCTCTTTCAAACTACGAGGGTGGAATCGTTTCATGCAACCGTCAAAGTTATTCCAATTATTTATTTTCATTTATTATTGCTTGCAGAGCGTTGACTTGAGTGCTGTTTTTGGTCTCCTTGTCTTCGCAAGATTTCCGGATGTAAGTGAATTTCCTTAACCCCCATTCATCATTCTGTTTCTTCAGAACTTCATCACTGTCGGTCTTCAGCTTGTCGCTCATTAAGATATTTCAGCGAATCCCGTAGCGATTAGTAGTTACGTGGTCTTTTGTTAAATGATCGAGCGTTGTAAGTTTTACCATAACTCTTGTTTGTAGGTTGTTCGGATGGGATCCGTGACAGAAATGAAGGATATCAGCGGAGAGAAACGGAAAACTGTCGTTTTTAAACATGTACCTGAAAAAGGAGAAGTCACTGTCGTCGATATGAAGACACGCAAAAGGAAAACGGTAAACGTTCATTCTTTTGGTTTTCCTAGAAAAGTATCGCGCTTTTCAACTACTAATTCTTGCAGCATTAAGGTGGTGCCGTAAAGGTCATCCTTTCTGTAGTTTATTTGTTTGACAAGAACTCAAGTGGGTAATCGTATCTTTGGTGTTGAATGCTTACTTGCGTCGTACCTTTTAGACTATCCTCAAAGAACTTTTTTGAGTTGAGTTGATAAAGAAGGAACAACGCTTGAAACCTGGTGGTAAATTGTTTTTTGTCCACTCACTCCATCAAACCATTTTTGTTTATATGTTTGTTTTGGCACCCCCGTCCCCCCCCCACTCCCCCCCCACCCTACCTAGCACCCTCCCCCCCCCAGTTTACTTAGTCTTTATACAGAACTTATGTGACATTCTTCATTCCGCTTAAGGAGAGCAATTATACACAACAGACCACAACTCTTCAACTTATACTCACTCTCCTCCTAGTTGTTCTATAGTTATCCTTCTTTTTNTAAAAGATAGTAAGTTTTTCCTCTTACTTTAAGTAAATGGTAAACTAAGATAATATTCATAATTCTACTGGGCTATTAAAATCGCTACCTTAGATGATGAATACCGTATTTTAGAGGGACATTTTTGTATGTTGATGCTTTATGTTTTTGCAATAATTTCTCTAAGAAAATGTTCAGTTCATAAACTCTCTTTGCCATGCTCTTGCTTCTTCATGTTTGTGTAACTGCAAGAGAGAATGTTCTCCCTTGATAATTTTTGTCAAGTTAAAGTAAAACTGTCACAGGGTATTTGAAAGTGATTCTTCATTAGATTTTTATTTTCTTCATAAATGTTGTTATTAAATTAAGTTAGGTTGGCATTACTGAAAATAGTGTAACTCTATAGAACAGTTATACTCCAATACGAACGTTTGCGGGTATTTAACTGTGTCAATTGTTGTTTTTCCCTCTTTGTAATAGATAAATCTGTTCCAGTTGAGAGAATGTGGGTTCTTTATTTAGCTCTGAAGGGACTTCTTGGAAATGTAAAGGTACTGTGTCGTTTTCAGGGCTTAATGACTGTGTTAACGGATTTTCACGGATCGGATCAGGAGAAATGTCCCTGAGTTAAATAATCTCTATAAACATTGTATAGAATGGAGAAATTTATGGATTATAAGTTCGTCCTGTGAATTTAGCCGATTCTTTTTCTTCCAGGCAAATCCAAGTTTAAATACAGAATTGTTATCCAGTGGTATTGTTTCCTTGCTTGTTAATATTGCTTGTCGCGGAACTACGTTTAGTGGTCAGTGGATTTTACGCGACTTGGAGGTAAGAACGATATCGCCGCAGTTTAGTGTTGGCAAGTTATATTCTGGTTTTGCTGTTGCAGATCGTGGCATGTAGTCTAGCTGACGTTCTTGATCCTTGTCAACAGGTTCTGTCGTTAAAACTTTATAAATCAGTGCAGCAACCCTCATCCCCTGCCGATACTTCCCCTGTAAAAGAAGAGAGTAAACCAACAGCCAAAACGGAAAAGGAGTCCAGTGAAGCTGCCCCCGAGCCAGGTCCATCAGTAAAAGAGAATGAAAGTGAGAAGGATCCATTTGATGGGCTTAATGATATCACTAGGACCTGCTTTGAGGTTGGTTTGAGATGATTAACTGCAGGACTCGTTGCTGGAATAAATATGACGACGGTTTTATAAAGTTCATATACAATTCATACTGTTTGAGAAATGATGAGGATAATTTAGGTTGTATTCATATGTATATTTTTTATTCATATGTGCTTAACGTTGTAGTTGCCTTAACATTTATCTGTCTCGGTGGAAGTGAATTATTGGACCCATCCTGTTGCAATCAAGCGAGAAGTTTAGCAGCACTTCAAAATAGGCAGTGATAGTTGCGAAGGTTGCCCTTTTTAAACCATGTTTGCGCAGTCTAAAGTTTGAGTAGCGGTCTTACGTGGTTCTTATTTAAAGAGTGTTTTCTCTTCTATTTAATAGACAATACACGAGGCGATGCCGACCATTCCCTTGTCTGTACTAAGAGCCTTGTTTGAGAGTGTAGGTCAAGATCAAAGCCGACTTTTAGTTGAAGTACAAAGAGGGTAAGTACCTTTTATTTCTGTCATCACCGCAGCTACTGTAAAAAGCTTACTTCGTTCTTAAATACTTTGATTTGTTTATTACAGCTTTGATGGAGCTGTTTTCCAAGTAGACGACGATATTAAGGAGCAGGCTAAGAAATGGTGAGTGTCCACACACTTTTCCAATATACAATTCGTTTATGCATGGTCATTTACGCTGCAAATCTATTTTTTTATTATTTTATTTTTTTGCGCACCCATGTTGGTTTGCTTGTTGTTCTCATTGTTGTGTGCAGTAAGTTTTGTCCTTTTTTCTTTTTGTCTGGCTGGGTCTTAACTGGTTGCTACAGTAAACGATGCCTAAACAAATGCAGTCACTAACAAAAAGTAGAATAATTTACATGTTGTTGAACTCTTGTGAAAGAAAGTGATTATTAGGACACTGCACATATACCCGGCAATAACCCTACCTGCAATTGCGGAACCTGTCATTGTTTTCTCCTGCCATCTTTCCCTCAGGGTTTTATCTTCTGACAAGGTATCAGCTACCGGTGCAACGTCCTCAGGGGCCGCTGTGGATATTGGCGTGGTGCGCTACAATGCAAAAGACATTTTACCCGCGAACATTCAAGCCAAACCAGAAGAAGGCGAAGTAACTCAGAAGCTTATTCCTACTCTCAGTGATGCTGAGATTGAAGAGGTGAGATATTATGATGCCATTGTCAAAGGTCAAATTTTTTTCTTTTTTCGGAAGGAAACAAGTCTCCACCGTTGAAAAGAGAGTTTATTCAGTTGGTGAAATTACAGTCGAAGTTGTATTTCTTTTTCTAACTAGAGGAAAAAATATGTATCAATATCGCGAGTGTGCCTCTGTTTTGAACGTTAACGGCTTCATGTGGTTGTGATGGTCGATATCGCATCTACGCTTCACCTGAAAAGAGAAAATCATGATGGCAACGAGCGAAAACTAACCCTTTTTGTGCCTTTTGGATTGAAACTTTAACATAAAACAACTCGAAAAAATAAAGGCTTTTTTAAAATGATGTACTTGAGCAGTTGCAAGACAGTTTTTCCTCGGCAGACTGAATACCAAACTACCTTGTAGAGTACTTTATAAGCTGGTATCTGCTAGCATTGTCATCAATACGAGTAAAGCGCTCAGCGGGGCGGGTGATGTTTTTTCTACGAACGTCATTCATTTGTCCATCCATTCATTCCTTATCCATCCGTTCGTCCGTCCATCCATTCATCCAGCTCACTCATTTATTAGTTTATTGGGTCATTCGTTGATTCCTATCAGAAAAAAGTCAGTCTAACTAACTATACCTTGTTACAAATCGTCTCTGCAAATAATCCTCTTAAACGATTTCTTTTCTCACTTATCGCCCATTGCACAGTTGACGACTACGATTATCTTTCAGACTCGCGAGAAGCAGGCTCGCACAAAATCAGCTGAACTTCTGAAGAAAGAACTACAAAATGAAGAAAACCTTAAATCTTCGGAATATCTAAGTAAAGTAAGTTCAAAGGGAACGGTTTCTGTATTTCAGTGAAACTGTTTCGCGCGAATTAAAACCAAACAGACTATCTTATACCATAAAAGGTAACTAACATTGACTGAATGGAGAATTTTTACTCTGTTAAAGAATGACTTTACTTAACCCCGTCCTGAAACACCTAGTGCCAAGTAGTTACAAGCAAACAAAATAAAAGAATGAAGTAAGAGCGTAATACTGCATTGCTGTGTATTAGTGTGGTATCTATTGTACATTGGGTTATGTATATGTATCATTTTGTTATTTTTTAATGTTTATGTTGATTGACATTCAGAGCTCATGTGGGAGCCAAATTGTGATTAAATTTCGAACATGCTTACTGATACAAGACCAGGAGGGCTACATTAAATGGAGGAGTATAGGTCCAGTCAGATGCAGGCGCAAACTTCAAGCCATCTGTCCTAATCTTATTGTTTACTTGCTTTCATTTCAGGTTAATCTTGCCTTGTCTGTGATTTACTCACGGCACTTGCTCGCTATTCTACTGGGAAACTGGTGTGACTGTGGCATGATAACCACTGAATTGATCGACAACAGTGATGAGGTACAGCTGATTGGTCTGCTGGACATTCTACAAAAACTGGAAAGCAAAGAACTGTTTGAAAAGGTTAGGTTTTACACTCGAGGTGGTGGTGGGAAGGGGCTGGGGGGGGGGGTGGTTGGCGGCTTCAATCACCTTATGTTTCGATGACTAATGCAGATTCTGTAGCCCATGAACTATAGAAGCCATGTAGGAGTTTGATCATGTAAACGTTTGTCATATGTGATGATTATATGTTCTACTCCTTTCGGGAACATGGAATTCTTTTCCCTTAATATCGTTTATGATTTTTTTTATAATCTTCGTATTTGAAATGTTATTTTTGATTTTGTGTTGTTGTCCTTTTTGTTGAAGGTTGTGAGTTCAGTTGTACGATATGGAGACCCCAAACTGGTTCATCCATTGTCACTTGCAGCAGCTCACTGTATGGGTGAAGTGACGCTGTCTTCCGAAACCAGGGAGTCCAGTCATAACTACCCTAATGACACTGTGGATGAGGTGAAGAGCATACGACGCCATTAACTCTTAAACAAAATTTACGAACAACAGCATAGTATTCTTAGCCTACGTTGCAGGCGCATGAGAACTGGAATTTGCTACTGAAAACGGGCCATGCGAGGAAAGAGGAGGATACCTCCCCTTTCGCGCGCGACCTCCTCTAGCGCGCGTATCGTTTATCCCTTGTCCCATATTTCTTGTCAATGTGACGCATACTTCAGGTGATTTAGTACCTTAATCTAAGGATTTAATACCAATACCTGGAGATGTATTTTAGCATATGTGTCGACAGTTCATTTAAAGATTACTGTGACTTTACCGGCGATCATTACCGTGAGTCAACAGACAAAACTATGAGAGGCTCAAGTTAGTTTGTGTGTTTTTGTCATGTGAATTACGAAACTGCAAGGTCTCTTGTAAAAATTGTGTTAAACGACAACGAATTTGACATGTTTGGTCTTTTCACAGGGAAAAGTGCACATCCCTGGAGCAGCTACCCTCTTCGTCAAATTTGATTCCAGGTACACCATGCTAGTGTGTTGTGACTTACTTGTGTACACATTTTCTCTACTCTCGATAAACAAAATATTGATTTAATTGTAACACATCCCGCGCAATGTGTTCCTTCGTCTACCATCCCGGATAGAATTGGAATTTGGAAATGTCAGGTTTTATTAGCAAAGGGGAAAACTGGAGTACCCGAAAAAAAAAAAAGGACCCTCGGAACAAAGAAAAGAACCAACTCCAAACCACAGACGAAAGAATGATATTTAAAGCTCTGTCGAGTTGATTTGTTCTTGGATATTCCCTATGCATATTTGTTCGGCGAAACCTACCTGGGGCCGGTTGCTCGAAGCCTGGTTAGCGCTAACCGTTGGTTAAGAGGTATCAAAATGTATAGGTTTCCATGGTATTTAACGCTGGTTAGCACTAACCATGCTTCGAGCAACCCGGGCCAGCTGGACGCTAAGCGCAACTCCTTGTAAAAAGGGCTTACAGACAGGCGACTATTGATCTGGTCTGGTTATGTGTATGTTTGGTTCAAGTCCCAAAACTGACCAACATCAAATTTCTGCTAACAACATCAATACATCATCAAGATAAAAAGTTATGAGAATTAATGAAGACGATCACTAAAGGGGGAAGTGTTTTGCTCGTTTATCAAATTCTTTCAGCTAATTCTTTGAGGAAATGTATGGTGATAAGTCTGGGAAATTTACGAGGATTTTGGGACTAAGAGGGTTTAAAAATGTATTCAGTTTACAAAGACAGCGACACTTTTGATTTACCAGGTGTGCCACTGAAGATGGATGTGACGAGCTTCGGATTGCTTCATCTCCTGATTATGAACAAAACAGACACGTGTTTTCCGGTCCAAGTAGTCGATGGATTGATGTGGAAATACCAGGTCTGAAATTGTTCAGTTCGTTTCTTCTTTTGTCTCTCAAGGAGTAGTAGTTTGAAGAGTTATTGAACCCATCAACAGCTAAACTGTCTGTTAACACACAAGACACCTTCGAGGTTTTTTATTGTAGCAGTAAGTGGAAGGCGTTATATGTGAGCGTTATAAATGAACAATAACTTTAACGAGTCTCCACACAGCCTTACGGCGATACTTCCCGACCTGCTCCTGAAGAGTCATGGAATCCATAGCTATCGCGTTTGTGAACGCTTAGATACTGCATCCTCCTTAATTTAATGTAATTTGTGTTCAAGCCGCTGGACGCCACCGATATATATCGTACTGTAGAGTGCCAGTGAGAGTCAAATTGTGATGAGCGCCAGTGTGTTGGCAGACCACTTAGCACACAACTTTGATCCCCTGTCTTTCATTTTGTTTTTAGGTGACACGTTGTATTACATATTCACCTCAGACAACAGTACTAATGACTGGGGCTGGAAATTTGTAGTAACTGGAGGCCAACTTGGCAGGTAATTATAGGAACAGGACAAACGGAAAACCTACATGGAAAGTCGTAAAATTAAAGAATGTCATGTTTCAGCTTAACAAAAAGTGTTAATCAGTGCCTTCCAATATTCGCTTTAGAATGATGAAGATGTGTGTATAGTAGACAATAGAGAAGCGAGGCGTTTATAATATGTTAGGATAATTGTGTGCTTTTACCTTTAGGTTCAAGACTGGATTCACAGTTCTGAATGCTATGCTGTCATTGGATAACAAAATCGCCAGGTAACGTTCCATAACATACTGTAATCCGCTATTTAAAAGTACAACATGAGCGAAAACGTACTGTTGCAGTTTGCAGGTCACATAATAAAAACTGAGGACCATGGCGGCAGCTCGCGGGCCGTTGAACGCGCGACAAGTACTGTAGGTGTATTGGATTCTAATGTCGTTTGGTTCTCAGTTATTTTATTCTTTCGCTTTCGCTTTTTATTTTATTCTGTCGCTTACATCTTTCTTCTTTAGGTTGTGTTTACCAGCAAAGTTTAGTGCGGAAATTTTACAACTGGGATGTCAAACATATAATTGAGAGTGGAATCCCGGCAAGAAAATAACGAACGTTGTTTTCAGCACTTCTTGTTAGTGTTTTTGCCCTTACCAGGGCTCAAAGTTTAAATTTGAGTTTCGGAGCACTTGTGCTACCAGATGTAAATTTTTAGGCGCACAACTGAAAATTTTAGGAGCACAGTTTATAATGTTGGGAGCATCTATTTCAAAAGAAAAAGTAAAAAGCTCAACAGTGCCACGTTTATTTGTCATCTTCAGTTTGTTACTTTTACTTCCGTCCTGTGATTGATAAAACACAGCCGATTTGCTACGCAGTAATACCGTTGTGATTTTTAATACTAATTTCTCTTTTTGACAGTACAGCTGTGACTAAAGAAAACTTACACTTGAAAAAAAATTCAAAACTGACAACAACGAGTGTGTCGAACGAGAATGAAAGTTAATCTTTAATGAATTTGTCAAATGCGCAATGACTTACATGTACCTGGGATATGACTTAAAAACTTTCTTACCTGGAAAAAAAGGCTCTTAATCCGCACTGTTTTTGTTTTGATTGACCTTAAAACTGATCGTTCGACATGATCGTCCATTGCGCAAAAAGCACGTGTTTTGTTCGTAGCATATATTTGCATGTGTCAGCGGTGTTTATTACAAAACAGAAGAGTCTGGGATGGAGTAAAACATCGAAACGAAAAAGAACATTCGAGTTCGTGGAATCCATTTGGAGAAAAGACCAATTAAACATACACCGTCTTATCTGGTTCGAGTTCGTAAGTATAGTCCGAAGCAAGTCAGTCGCACTGAGCTTTGGGTTTTATGGCGCACAGGTGCGATTACACATGAATTTTTAGGCGCACAACCAAAAATCCAGTCGCATATGCGACCAGTTGGTCGCTAACTTTGAGCCCTGCTTACCTTGTAACTGTAGAAGAGAGGTTCTACATAGCAAGACATTAAAGAGATGGACGTTTTAGTTAAGAAACTTGGTTTCCAGGGAAGTATTAACTTATAGTTAGATATGACTAGATATTGTTATAAACCACACTAATTTCTTTCCCAGATCCTTGCCTTTAAAGAAGTTATGGGTGTGGCTTGTCTCAGTAGCCTGCTGTCAGACTGGTCAGCAGAGGCTTATGGCAACCGGTTTGTTGCTAAGACTTCTGTTGGTTGTCTCTGGGTAAGTCCCACCTCACGTGATGTATTATGTTTGAGTGCAACGCCATGCAACACGCAGCAACTTAGCAGTCCTATTAAAAACACATTGTCTGTTAAAAGAACAGTTGATATTATGATGTTAGTTCTATTCATACGCGGATGGAGGAGACTCAGGGGCAGTCCGAGTTGGGTGCTGAGAAAAGGCGCCACGAAAGCATTCTCCCGACTGCCTCAAGGCCTCCGAGGATGAGTGTTACTTTATTTTCTGACCCTTATAGCAGAAAAGTGAGCAACATTAATGAGCCTGATAAATTAGGGGAAGAGTTAAATAATGGAATGTGATTTATTATACTATTAATGTTTTCCGTAGGCAAGCTAGAGATAGCGATGGTTCTTGCTCGCCCCCAATGGATGAGAGTGAAAGACCTGATCTGAGTCTGTTGAAGCCCCTTTGGTCACTTTATACGGGCATGCTGGAAAAAGAAGGTCAGAAAACAGCAATCTAACCAGTGAGCTAGGCTAGGTAGACCGACCAAAATATGGGATACTTATTTTACTCAGAAAGGTCAGAAAGATGTGTCCTTGACTATCAACATTCTCTGTGCGGATTACCAGTATTGCAGATTCAAAATACAATCAATCAATCAAAGACTTCATTACTTCGAATTTGTTGATAGCAAAATTGCTAATTTTGTTCTCGAGTCCAGCGTTCATTTGTGCAATGGCGAAAGGAAGAAACTCCAAACTCTTTGAGAACCAAACTTTATTCTCTTGATAATTAACCTTGCCGCATGTTGGAACTTTCAACTCATACACTTCGTGATTCAAGATGGTTCTCTCTCTTATGTTCGAAGATCAGACATGTTGGTAAATTTGTCTGTCTGTTTTTTTTTTTTGTTTGTTTCTGTTTTAACAGGATCTGGTTCAGCTCCAACATTAGTTCCTCCTGTACTCAGAGGCCTCACGGAACTTTTTCTTGTAGTGGAAAACCTTGCACAGGTCAGACTTCAATCTTCATCCGAAATAAATTAGATAAGAATGGACGAAGTGATCACCACCTTTTGACCGTGTGGAATGCAATCTCTCCCTAATAAGCTTTGTTTTCTGTCTGTATAGGATTGGGGTGTGGCAGAGGACCTGGTCGTTGGTTTTACGACAATCGAAAGCTTGAAGAGATGCTTCTCTCAGGTAGAGAAAAATTCAGTTGCTAATTGAGAAATCTCCTGCAGTGGCGGCTGCAGTATTTTGACAGTATTGACAGACATATGTACTGCATGTTGTTTCTTGAAGGCTGTTCAAAGGGTTGGTCTGATCGGTCTTGCCATTGGACAACCAAATCAAGCGTCCGAGGCACTTGTTAAGGCTGCAGCTAACCCCCAGAGCAAGCAGGATGAAGATAAGAAGGTATCCGTCAAAATGATTCTTAGAAAACGGACCATGTATTTATGATCCACCCAGGAGCATAAATACATGCTGTTCAAATAATGCTTAGCTATACTCGGCACAAGATCACCTCTCATTCGAGAAGGGCAGGATTATATAATGAAAATACGTTTACTTCATGTCGCATAAACCCATCTCTCATTGGCTGGGTACCTGTGGCTGTCACTCTACAACTGATAGATAACATTTGCTTTACTACTAATAATTATAAACTTAATTAATCAATAGATTTTAAGTAACGTTGTAGTCTCTGGTAATTTATAAATACAGAGTATGACTGAAATCAGCTTGCTGAGTCCGTTTCAGCAAGGTAAACACGGTAAATGGCACTGACTGTGTATAAATAAAATCAATTATATTATAATTATTGTGTTTGTAATGTTAGGCGATTATCCTTTTGGTATTTCTTTTGGCCAAATCTTATAATGTTAACCTTGTATTTCCTATAGGAGAAGTCCAAATCAGACGCGGCAGTTCGGTGAGTGAAAGTGAAGAATGATCATCGCAGTAAATTTTCCAATTTAAGCAATTGGAAAGAAGAAGCCTGAAAAAAAAAAAAATCAGGGCTTCAACGGGATTCGAACCCGTGACCTCCGCGTTGCCGGTGCGTTGCTCTACCAACTGAGCTATGAAGCCACACATTGGGAGCGAGGTCAATTTATTGAGTTCATATCTCCCGTGAGGAGTGAAATGATGTGAAGTATATGAAAATAATTCATTTTTGAACTGAGGTGAGTGAGGTTCGGTGAGTGTTGTTCGCTTTTTTTTTTCTATGTTCGTTTAATATTTAACTTAATGTTTTTTGTTGTATTAGTTTTAATTTTGGTAATCAAGTAGGAGAACCCTTGGTAAAGCACTTTCCAGTGAGTATGGAAGTAGGTAAATGTATCCTTGACAAAGACTGCTGAAAGAGTACAATCGTTCTATTCACCTATTTTAGTGTTGCAGAGTTCAGGCCTCCTTTCTCGTTTTCTATTGGTCGAGATGAAAATGAAGATGACACCACTGGAGAAGCGTCCAGCGATGACTCGGACGACAGCAGCTCCTCTTCTGATACATGGAGCTAGTCACGTGACGTGTACAATGTCATGTCACCGAGATCTCGAGTCACGTGATCCATTCAGAGTTCAGTCAGCCTTTGCCAGAAGATGTTTGAGAAAGGTTTTGTTGGTCGTTCCTTGTCACCAGGGCGTGAATTGAAGAGAGAATAGAAAATAGCAAATTTAGCCAGTGTATACAGCTGAACGCTTGATTCAAATTTGAACACAGTACAAGTGCTATCGGCGAAATTTCATTGAACAAAAACTACAGGTATTTGAAAGCCGAGAGAAGTTGAAAAATATATATTCTGTGTTATAACGCTCTTTATAGGAAATCAGGAGCATTGAGGAAACTATATCTAAAACCTGACCTTTTTTAACCTTAATTAAGCTGAAATCTTTGTGAAGTAACATCTGCATGGTTCCATTGAAGGAATAGTCATCTGTGTTATACTCAGGAACTCTTGGGAATTCGTCCTGACGAAAGGCAGGTTAATGGCACTCAAAACATTCGCTTTGGAATCACCGGTTCTACACGGAGGTCATTCATTCCCGATCCACTTATATCTTATCTCAAATTCGCTTTTAAAATTCTTGACGCACTTCTCAGACATTTGAATTTTAGTAAAATGCCACAAAAGTTCAAGAGATTCTTTAATATCACAAAGAAATCAACTGTACCACTGCATATCACAAACCTCTTGCCATTTGACTGTAATTGCGCGCTGTTCCCAATGGTCTCTGCTGCCTCAAGTTAACAGCCGGCAAATAGCAGAATTGTTGTGTTCCTCAGTACTCGAAGAGAATCATTAAAGTAATTCTTTAGTTATTCCTCACAATGTTTTAGCTTTTTCGCATATCATTTCCTTAATACTGACAAGTAGTATCTAACCACCTGTTATCGTCAAAATATCGCATTTCTAATATTTTATGGAGAAGTGTGTTGAAGTAGCAAAAATAATAAACATAACATAAAAGACACGCAAGAAACTATCTCTGGGCGATTTTTGCTGCCACTGCAGTGAGCATAGCTTATCAGTCCAACGAACTTCAATTATGAGATTGATTTTGATTGGTTTCGATGGCCAAACACAACCCCCAGTTATGACATATGCAAATCTACTATACTAGGTCACGCTATGTTGAATTCTATTCAATTGAGAAGACGCTTCAAAACTTCACGGCTACTACTGACCTAAAAGTCGGAAGTACATATACCGACGATATACGAGATTCCTAGCGTTACAGTGTTACTTAACATGAGCTTTACTTTGGGTCAAGTTTGGGTAGAGGAGCACAGAACAGGGCAAATTTTATTAGGCATGAAAATAATACACTTTGCTGTCCTGAACAAATAGAAATGTGTCATGTCTTATTCACCCACGCGGTGATTGGGGGTCCATAAACATGCACAGAAAAGCACTACACTGGCGAAAGTTGCTTCGTTCACGTGGCGCCCACGTTATGACAGTTTGCAAGTCTTGAGGCTTATAATAAAAATAACAGTATTAAAGTCTTTTAACCAGGAGAATCGTGAGATAATTTTTACCGGATTCGTGACAATGATTGTTTATTTGAAGTCCATGAAATAATAATGCATCAGAAACGGATTTTCTTCATGTTCCTCGCAACCTGGCTGCTCCGACTCAGTAGATTCTTCTTCCGACATTTTCTCCGTACCAAGATATTGAATCGTGCACCTGTCGCCAAATCGCTCATTTAGAGCCTTCTCGGAAATAAACTTGAAGGTTGAGGGCATACCTTCTGTAGATTCAGGAGCAAAGAACTCGAGGAAATATCTCCCATCGGGTTTGAGGCAGGAGAGCATTAGATCGCAGTATTGCTTCATTCGTTCATCTTTCATCACGTTGATAGCGGTCATCGAACCACGATCCCAGATGAGGTCAAATTGGCCGCCGGCGACTACAGCCGAAAAATCAAATATACTGCATTCGTAAAGCGAGATATCTTTCTCATCCACTTTGAAAATCGTGCCCTGGATTTCTGGCGAGAGTGTAACGCATTCTTCGCGATGTGTCAACTTGTTGTCTTGCAAAAATGCTTCGATTCCTTTTCGAATTAATTCAACTCCTACCACAGAGTGTCCCTGGTCGGCCAACCAGATCATATCCAATGATTTTCCGCATAGAGGGACAAGGATTCGCAGGCCTTTTCTCCCGCCGGTGAATGCTTTGTAGTGTTTCATTAACATGGCATTCACCTCTTTCAAGTGGAACATCGGATCGTCCGCCGTATTCCAATCTTGCTCCCATGTTTCCTTACTTTCGAAATCACATGTGGCTATATGTTCTAGGTTGTCGCGTGTGTCCATTTCTACGGTCTCAAAATCCTTTCCTTTGGGGGACCTTTCTGTTAGAAGTTCAGCTCACGGGAGGCTGAGAAGTGTAGGAGAGCGTGAATTACCAAAGGCATGCGCACAAGAAGCGAGTCACGATTTAAATCAAATACTGACGGATCCAATGTATGCATTTCTTTAACGGATCACACATGCTTTTAAAAAAGGTTTTAACGTGACTGAGTCAAACCTGTGTAAGATGATGGTAGTATATTGTGGACGGTGCAACAGCTATGAGCTGCCATGAAAAACGCGAATCAAGGATACACGCCTCGGAGCTTTGGTTAGTCTCAGTATAGCCAGCACGAAAACAGAGGGTTACGAAAGGGTATCAAAGCACATGAATTTTTGGCATATTTATTCAGGGGAAATTTAACCCCGTTTTATGTAATACAGCCACGATCAATTGCCGATTACTGAGTCATCATTGCGTAAGATAATGTGATGAAGGTTTCTGCTCACAAATGGTCACAAACTCAGTTTTAAAAATGACTGTAAAAAGGACCTTCCATAAAATAGCTCATAAAATAAATCGGCGAAATGTGCTGTTCTGCAAAATAGTCTGCAGAACAGGCGCTAAGCCAAAAAAGCGCCAAACCATTAAGATGGGAACGTACTTCCGAGGCGTCATTACACCGACTCTTTTATCCCTTATTGTGGACGGTAATGAAAACCAGATCCTTAGTCTAGTATCAGAAAAGTCACTTAGTGAAAAACTTAACCCATTCGCTCCTGGAGATTTTGCCCAAAAACGCGTTTTGAAGCTAGTCGAGAGGTTTTCTGGTCACTGTCGTGCTATAAAGAGCTAAAACTTACCACAAACTGGTTTACAGGTCGAACACTTCGCGGCCTTCTGATCCAGATGCAAAATATCAGCTTGCGAAGTTCGGGCATGCGCAGAAAGCAAAATTTCGACAGTTTTTGGGTTTAAAAGTGACACAGCAGTCTTGACTTTTACTTTTCGCTTTCTCTCCTCACTTCTTTTTTTGATTTTCTTGCCTCATTTTTTCTTCTCTTGCTGGGCATTTAGTAAGCTTGATTTTGGTGGGAAGAGTTTTTAGGAAAGCTTTTAGGATCTTAGGATTAGGCGAAAGGAAAGGTAGGTGGGTAATGAAACAAGATTTTCATGGAGATTTTCAGGTCAATGTCACGTGGTTTTTTGCTTGTTTCTCCGGTGTCCTTGACTGAATTGTGCTCATTCTGGTATGGTTTGAAAGATCTCTTCACTCTGCACAAGTTAGTGAAGAAAGTTGTCCTTGACCGTTAAAACTGATGACGTCACAATGGGTAGAAAGGTCCTGGATCCGTACGGGCGGTTAAGGGCGGTTCAGGGGCGAATGGGTTAAGGACTCTTTCTGTTTCGCAAAAGTGAGGGGCTCTGGGGGCCGTTTCTCGAAAGTCCCGATAATTAACGGGCCCGGTAAGCCTCCCCGTTTACATTAAAGGTCGGGGTTTCAATAGTTTTGTATCTAACATGATAAAACTATCAGTTAATGAAACAAAATGGAGTAGTTTGCAATCCAGGACCCGCGCTCTTATTCTTTATATTTCGTTTTGAATATTTGATTTCGAGCCCGAAAAGTTACCGAGACCTTCGAGAAACGGGCCCCCGAGGTTCCTTGTCCCTAACCTCTCCCCCTCCGCGTGCCCTGTCATGATGAGGTAGATATTTGAAGGGAAGTTCAAGTTTACTGAGCACTGCTCATCCTTCCTAGCTAACAACCTACACAAACCGGTCTGCAATCTGGTAACCATCCATATAGAGGCGCTTGAATCGATCTCAACTGATGAACAAAGAAACGTTATGCTGGTATTGGAAAGCCAGGAATTTCAGGCCATTTCTCGCAAAGTGGAAAATACACTGCGATCAGCTTATAGGTGATGGTATCAATAGAATTCGTTTTTGTGCAAGACGAAATCTGTTAATCGTAGCATTATAAACGCTAGATGCATTTGGTAGATTTTCAAACATAATCATTTAATGTAAATCTCTTTTGGAATGGCAATTCACCGATCATTACATTTGAACGTAATATAATACGTCCATATCTCGCTCCTGATAACATTAAGAACATGTTCACGAAACTGTCTTCTGTCCACAGTTACTGGACTAGATCTGTTACTAATGAAAATTACTATGTTGAACAAGTTAGAACTGAAAATATGAAGCGAGCCTTCTCTATTTCCGGTGCTTTAATTTGGAACAGTATTCCACTCTCTATAAAAACACTAAAAAAAAATCAATTCAAAAGCGAACTAAAGAGAAAACTCTTTGAAATACTGGAAAAAGAGGTCGACTATATTAGAGTTTCTGATATTACAGGGCAATTCTCAAAATCGTAACATGGTGTGCTTCCGTATGAAGTATAGTCTGCCTTCCTGTCTCACTCTGGATATAAACCACACGACAAACTAGATTGCTTCTAGGATTGTTCGTTTAACATATATATATTTATACAATTTTCCTTTTTCTCTTGTACCCGCCTCGAATAGCCTTCGCTAATTGCGGGCACAAGCTTTGTAAGCTATATTTAATTTGAAATAAACTTGTTGTTGTTGTTGTTGTTGTTGTGAACTTTAACCAACGACACCTCAAAGACTTAATGAAATCTGACGACTTCTGGTATCACAGTTCAAATAATGTACATAATGACAGGTTAACGCAGTCAGCGAGTGAATTATTGGGATTTACCCGTTCGAGTTCACTAACAATGAACACACGAGGCTTTGCCGAGTGCGGTATTGAAAATTTCGAGTTAATTGTTAGTGAACGAGTACAGGTAAATCCCGATAATCTATGAGCAATGAGTGCGTTAACATCTTTATTATTCAAATTGAATGCACTGCACAAAGCTGGCAAAACTATATTCCCCAAGCAGTTGCTTTCTTGGTGTTTTTAGCGGAGCTCCACGCGCGCGCAGCGCGCGAAGTGGAGCACCATGGGTAAGAAAAATTTTGGTAATCACGTGACCGTATGCCCGACCGACCGTCCGTCCGCACCACAGGCATACCAATGTAAAATAACTCAATTAACAAGTATAGCAACCAAAATGCAACTCGAGGTTATTTTGGCGGGAAATCGCATAGCCACCCGCGTCTTATGAAGTAGAGAGCCTGCCAGAGACAACTAGAGAGGCAATAAAAACGAAAACGGAAAGCGGAAATTCTTTTTGTATCCTTGTTGTCTAACGTATTAAGCTTAGATTAGTTGTCATGTCCACAAATGTGGAATATAGAGAAAAAGAAAAAGTGGTCGACAGGCCAGTGAAGCTCAACGAGAAAAAGTGACAGAGAGATAGAGCGAGAGGTAAGTAGCTATTTGTTGGAAGAACAACATGAAATTTTTTTAGCAGCGGTGAGAAAATGAGAAATCTTAGCGGCCACCAAGGTGAAAATGAGCGAGTGAAAAAAGTGAATAACAACAGGTACGACATTTCCTCCATAAAACGTGTAACTAGGAAGTTTTCGGAAGTTTCACGTTGTGGTCGTGCAAAACAACGGCAAAGAAAAAAAAAGTGTGCTACTCGTGCAAAGTTTTTTTTTGCTAATTAGACCTATTGTTTTTTCACCGTTCTCGTTGCCTTCGCCCCTTAGCCAGTAACATGATTTTACATTTTGTTTGAGCAAACTATAAATATTATCGAGAGCTTCGCTTTTAGCCCTGGCTAAATCCGGCTATGTGTTAGGAATTGCATCATCGATAAGAGAATCAATGTCTGCATCTCACATATTTTCAAACTTTGAGTCAGCGGAAGCCAAGGTGTAATGACAGTGGTGTGTTGAATTTACACCACGATAATGACGTCAAGGTGATTGTTTCGTCACAACCCAGTATCACGTAGTACAAATCAGCCAATCAGAAAATCGGAATCCGTACAGTGTATGAAAGTTGAATAATAAAAATCAATAGACTCTAGGAGACCCTATGAGAAGATTTCCGAAAAGCCCCATACATCTATCACATGTTTCGACTCTATTTATGTTAACTATTTGTTTGAACTGAAATAGTATGAAACTACTGGTGGCTCTGTACGGAAATCTTAGCGGGTGTTTACACGACACCGGGGCGACTTTCGCGCCAGAGCGAGTTCACTACTGTTCCCTCTCATGGCTCTACATTTGTTTACATGATACCACTACAAAATGTCATGCCGGCGCGAGTCACCCCGGTGTGAGTTCACCCCGGTTGTTGTACCGGGGCGCGAATTTCACTCCGGTACGAAATCTCACAATGGTATCATGTAAAAGCGAAACGACCACACGTTTCGGTGTGAAATCGGTCTGCCGGTAAACTGGAAAGGGAAGCGCATGCGTAATGTTTGCGATTTTGAATCACGCTTGTATTTTATCAACATGAAGTGTACTTTCAAATAGCGAGATATGAAATGATGAAATGACCCAGTCATAATGTAAACGCTATACGAAATCAAAAAATCATCCCGGTATGAAACTCGCGCGGGTGCGAGTTTTCTCGTGCAAACACCCCCTTACCAAGTGACGCAAGCATTTAGTCGGGAACAGCTACCATAAGAGGACTGGGTCTGACAGAAAAGACGCCCGCCTTACGAGGACTCTCACGTGAGGTGAGGGTTTTCAGGCGGGAAGATTGTTTGCTGGCGGAACTAGGTTAGTGACTCAGCATGACCCAGACTATCGATATTTATTTCCTTAAATTTTAAGATGCCACAGAAGGAGATGCTTGATTTTTTAAAGCGGCTCTTCGTATCGGCTTCAGGTCCCAGAACTGTTCGAAGGCCGCGGTTGAGCTTGAACTGTCGAAGTTCATCTCACTAATTCAAGGTTAACAATACGGTTTCCTGCTCCTTTTAGTTAAAAAGTATTTTCTTTATTATAATAAAACCATATCTTTTGCAGTTTAAGACCAGGTTACTTTGCAGGTTCGAGCAAGGTGCTCATTCAAATATTCCAACTTCGCGTGGACATTTTCTTTTGACACTGAACGAATAGATACAACTACCCAAGCATAAAATAAAAACGCAAGCAAGGGCCTATAACGACGGCTTCTGTAAAATGTAACCTGCAAAATATACAGGTCTCCTCGGTCCGCCTCAGTAGGGAAATTATGAAAAAAATGCCGTAAATATGAAGGGTAGCTTATTGGATACGAGCGTGTGCTATGTATCAGTATGTGCACCCCCCGGGGGAAGTACTCGACCAGTATTTGGGTATCGGTGACCTGCTGAATGTTTGAAACCCTGACCTTGTTTCGGACAAAAAATTCTAAAATACATTCCCTATTTAGGACAACAACCTCAATTTTATTCCCCTGTTTAGGACTAAGGACACCAGGCACTCCGTCATTTTTTAAAGTCATTTATTGATTGACACAGTTGCAACAGACTAATATCACGTTTTAATCATTGCTTTTGTATACTTGGAGTACAGAAAAATTCCATCAAACAAATCAAATCTCGACCTTAGCATGAGATGACATAACGGTAAAAGGCAGCGGGGCAGATGTAACTTAATGTGATAGTGAAATGACGTTTTGCTTTTGTCAGTGCTGGTAATAGTATTTTTTCAATAAATTTTTCATGACACATTGTTGGAGGATACAACAGATGACTTCTTCACATGTCGATGTAGCTTCCCTTCCTTCAGAAATTATTTGCAAAATAATAGGCACATTTTTGCCCCTGCAGGATGTGTTGAACTGTATGTTTGCCTCCATTTCTTGGAAGGTGAGTAATATTAAAGTACCCCTGGATTTAAAAGCTACTTTGCCCTTCTTGTGTAGGTGATTAATGGGGCCCAGTACTGTGTTATATCTCTTGGGTCATGAATATTCATATCTTCTTAACTTTTAACTTAAAGTAATTATGTACATTTTTAAATGATTCACAGATAATTAAAATAAAATTACTTACTATTACTTTTACATAGGAGGTCATTTCATCAGAGTCATTCTGTAAGGCATATACTCTAAGCCATTATAATTTTGATGATGAGGATCAGCCAAGTGGTCATTTAGAAGTCTGCCAAGATCCTGATAAATGGCACTGTTATTGGGATGATGACAATGATTGTGATGATGATGATGATGAGTCAGATTTGTATGTCTTCGCTGATCCCCCAAAGCGCTGGAAATGTGGTATAGCTCACTTAAGGACTCACTTAAGTCAGATAAGAATCTGAGGTACAAAGATTTCTTCCGAGCTGTAACCATATTAATGAGAATACAGAAAGCTGCTGTGGAATTACAATTAGATTGCCGTAAGTCCCCTCCTTTGACCTCTACAATAGAGTACTAAAGTGATGACGTCATAAAAATGTAATATCTGAAATTATGGGATTTGTCAGGATATTCTGAAAGAACAATGTCCAAGAGGCCTACTTGCCAAAAATGAGCATTTTGGGGCAAATTGTCTCTGAGATCGTAGCCCAGTTATGCTTAGAAAACCCTATATAAAAACCCTTCTAAATTTAGGAGTTTTCTAAGCATAACTGGGCTGCGATCTCAGAGATAATTTGCCCCCAAAATGCTCATTTTTGGCAAGTAGGCCTCTTGGACATTGTTCTTTCAGAATATCCTGACAAATACCATAATTTCAGAAATTTCATTTTTATGACGTCACACTTTAGTACTCTATACCAAAGTTTTATGTGTAAGAGAGATGACATAAATGTGACACTTAATAATTAATTATTCATATTCTTCTTTATTTATCATTAATTAAATAATTGTAATTGAACTGAGTGGATTGCAATTTGGTCTAAAATCATATGCGTCATTTCAAAGTTGTTCAATTTGAAATCACAAGTATGATTTCAGACTAAAATTACCTGACATGAAGTTTAGTTGCCACTTTATTACAGAGAGGTTTGAAATCACAGAACTCAATCAGTGACAATATTTGATCAATCTAGTAGCGAGTAGAAAAAGAGGCTTTTACTTCTCATTTTGTATTCAAAACAAAAATGATGCGATAAAGAGGAAAAATGGTGCGATTTAGAATGTAAATGGTGTAGTTTAGAGCAAAAATGATGCAATTTTAATAGAAGAGATGTGATGTAGAGCAAAAAATGGTGTGATTTGTGAATAAATCACTTCTGTCAGCCACTCAGATTGCTAGGATCACCAGTCAGGTTTTCAAAATGGATGTAATAAAATAAAATTATCTGCATATAATTTGCTGTAATTTATTGCAGGGAATAGAGTTAATAGTAACAATAGTATTAACATTTTGTTATCTGTTGCACTTTTGAAAATACTGCAAATTTACCGAACCAAACAGCATTTTACTTTTAACAAGATTCTGATCTGTACTTCACCATTCTTTTATTTCACAAAGAACTTTGCATCCTTTTTTTGCGTAAGTATGCTGAATAAGTCAAGTATGTCAGTTGACCAGAGACGTGGAGTCGAAGAAAAATGCCTTCTTTGAAGCTAAAATCCCAAAAGTGCTGTTAAGTAAAGTTGGGACCTGACTAATAATTACTAAGAATGTGACTGCATGTACATCGTTTTCCCTCTAGGAAAGTGGGGAAATGAAAGTGATGGAGTGGTAGAAGTCTGTTTGTTTCCTTGGAGCAAAGCTACCCTTCCCACAGTTGAAGATATCATCACATTGTTTAATTTTCATCCTAAGCTGAGCGAAAAGCCGATGGTAGATACAAGTCATAAAAAGCATGATGATGATAATGATGATGATGATGATGTGCTGATGAGGAAACTAAGCTGCAATAGCTTGCGATCGTTCATAAAAGACGACAAACAGAGAGCAGTAAATTTCTTTAAATGGCTTAGAAAAATATTCACACCTTTCATTTACATTGGTATTGGCTGTGATTTAATGAATCCAGTTATTTGTTTCTTGTTGGGACATGTTGCTCCAGGTTGGGTTGGAGGAGTGTTAACATCTTTGGTTTGCACTTAACGTGGTTGACAAAATGATTGTTTCTCTTTTTTTGTTTGTTTTGTCGCCTTTTTTTTTCTGCAGTGCTTGCTTATGAACAGTCCAGTGTTAACGACCAGATATTTAATAAAAATTCAGTACATGTAATAATTAAAGAATGTTGTCCTCTCTATTTTTTTTCAAAATATAGCAATTAATAGTGAAAAACGTCCTTTTTTCTCAGCAGTTTATTTTTTGTCACTGTTTCTTGATATATAGCTAACGCATTTTGCCATAAAATTGGGCAATTCAGTTATTCTGCCAAAATGGTTGAGCACCATCAATAAGGAGCTCGTATAAGATGCCACACGTAACATAAAACGGAGCGTCATTGCCAGTCAGTGGTACTGTTGTAAACTAAATGACAAGTTTGTGTTTATATGCACATTTTCGTTTTCGGCATTGTTTTCAGCTGGCTACTAAGATTCAAACTCAGAAAATCGTTTTGGCCGTTAAATGGAGGTTCAAAAGAATACAGAAACTCTCTTTGGGAAGGCATGAAACAGGCTAATCCCACTTAACTGATACAGGTGGTTTTTATTTTCAATTCCATTTTTCGGGACAATCGGCCCATCGGTCACTTTTATGGGAGGCTGGCTGCTTAATAGCAACGCACTTTAAAACATATCAGGCACTATATATGTCAGGAACCCATCAACTAAGAGCGTCCATCCGCACTACTCACATGTCTGCGCGTTAGACGGCTTTTAATCTATCACGATTATTCAAGCGCCCACAAAACCCAATATGGATGAATATAGCAGTTGATCTTCTACGCGTAACAGGATCTTTTTTCTTTCGACTTTAATATCGCTGTTCGATATCTGTGCTCGTGTGCCATTTCTGAAAATGTCAATACTCTGCTTAGCTGCTTTGATTGGATGGGAATTTTTTTTGTTTTTGCGCAAAATGAGTGGAAATGTTCAGCGGAAATGTAACTTGTGTACAGTGTAATTATTGCTACCTGTTCGTGTTCTGAAATAAAAACACCAGAAAACCCGTATTAATTATCTTTATTAAGCCGATCNAAGATTCAAACTCAGAAAATCGTTTTGGCCGTTAAATGGAGGTTCAAAAGAATACAGAAACTCTCTTTGGGAAGGCATGAAACAGGCTAATCCCACTTAACTGATACAGGTGGTTTTTATTTTCAATTCCATTTTTCGGGACAATCGGCCCATCGGTCACTTTTATGGGAGGCTGGCTGCTTAATAGCAACGCACTTTAAAACATATCAGGCACTATGTCAGGAACCCATCAACTAAGAGCGTCCATCCGCACTACTCACAAGTGTGCGCGTTAGACGGCTTTTAATCTATCACGATTATTCAAGCACCCGCAAAACCCAATATGGACGAATATAGCAGTTGATCTTCTACGCGTAACAGGATCTTTCTTCTCTCCACTTTAATATCGCTGTTTGATATCTGTGCTCGTGTGCCATTTCTGAAAATGTCAATACTCTGCTTAGCTGCTTTGATTGGATGGGAATTTTTTTTGTTTTTGCGCAAAATGAGTGGAAATGTTCAGCGGAAATGTAACTTGTGTACAGTGTAATTATTGCTACCTGTTCGTGTTTTGAAATAAAAACACCAGAAAACCCGTATTAATTATCTTTATTAAGCCGATCATTTGTTCGCACCCTTTTGAATGAAAGTTCTGCAAACAATGATGATTAACAATTGGTATTTTTAATGGTAATGTATGCTCAATTTTCTCTCAATTAGTTTTGAAATACATGGCTTCATATTACACTCCTAGCCTTTTATGGCCGATGTTAGTTAAGGAGTGACAGACCATGGGCAATAAAATTGCTATATTTCAATTGTTTTATTCTATGGTTTTGATATATGATATATTACCCATTTTTCAAACAATTTATGAAAGTGTTACATTTTGTTTCCTTTGGAGTATTTGTCATGCTTTTTACAAGAACCTCGCCATAGTATAGTTTTAAATTCATGCGAATTAAATTGCCAACTGTCGTGCCTCTTTCACCACCTGTCCTATTCCGCTAACCTTAATATGTAATCATTTGAGCTTCGGTTTTTAGTATTAAAGCAGAATGCTTTTTGTAGTTTAATCCTTCCTGCTGTGAGCAATGGTAAATTTCCTTCAGGAGATAAATCGAGCAGGGATGCTCTTAGGTATAAGGCAAAAGCTGCTGCCATTTTTTGTAAAATAGTCTAAATTTAACAAGTTTACGCAATTGTAATTTTCTTTTGAGCCTTTTCGTATTTCATATATAGTGAACAACCATTCGACTGAAAGCTATATTTTTATATTTTTGAGCATTTTAGGTCTTTTTTAATTAATCTACCATAAGAAATGTCACCTATGTGGGGTGGCAAATTTTGTTGTCTTTCGATGCCGGTCGTCATCTCTTCTGACAGATACTTTTCGGTTTAAAAATAGTCTAAACGCAGACATGTTTTAATACAGGAACATAGGTACAATGTTTTATGTGCGATTAACTCTAGCCGTACTTTTATTTGACTTATCTGTTTTCTTAATAGTTGACAAACTGGTGATACAGCTTACGATAAGTGCTTTTTTTTTCTTTTTTTTTTTTCGCACCCATAAACATTTTTACTTTGCACACACTAATTTTATTCAAATTACTGAACTTTGAATAAAAATTTGAATAAATACAGTGACTAATTTCCCACCAAACAAACATTTTATTGAGCCCCCAGGGCCAAGTCTTCTATCACCAAGGGGTACTAAATAGATGAAACAAGTGCAGTATCTATATTCTGTTTAAAAAAATAATATGGTAGATGGAACTGTACCAGTAGAATATACAAACATTTTGTTGATGATGTCTTAAATTTTGCCATACTTAAAAGCAGTTGTCAATTTAAAATACTGTTTTTTAGAGTTGAATTTAAAAGAATTTACATCTAAACATACGGCTAAGGTAAACTCATAGGTACATTTACAGAGTTGAAAATGATTACAAAATCTACTGCACTGTATAACTGGCTGAGAATAAAAGTTGTCTTGCTGTATCTTTAACAGCTTGCCTCACCTCTTGGATCTTCCAACAGTAAAGTACTGGATTTAAAGAGGAGTTCAAAAACACGAAAGTAAATGTAAATGCCCTAGCAAGGTAAACTGATAAAGACATCCCCTTAAAAGGCGTTAAAGGAGCCGTTATACCATATGGCAGATAACAGACAACCAATGCTACCAGCAACCACAGAGAACTAGACACCGCCTTCCTGTATCGAGCAATGCCCTTGGAAATCTCTTGTCCCTGTTGCTCTCGAACATGCTTTTCTTTTTGACGCAGAGTGAAGAAAATTTTTGTGTAAGACAAACATGAGACGACTAAGCACGGCAAAAACACACCTACTTGGAATAACCAAGTGTACATGTACGGCTTCCAAAAGTAGCTTGCTGTGGCGACAATGGATAGAATCCACAAAACAATTACAGTTATGCTGGTTTTCTTCAGGGTAACTACCTGTTTGTATTTGAGCCCCAGCAGTAAGGCTAAAAGTCTATCCATACTTATTGCAGTCACTGTGAATAAAGACGCCGAACACAAAATAGCTGTTGTAACAAAAATCGCAACGTTAGCGAAATGACAAAGATCCCATCTTTGGTTCACTACAGACATCCAGTATGTGACGGTGAGGGGCTCGGCAGTGATAGCAACGCAGAGATCAGTTACCGCTAGGTTACGATACAGGAGTTTGGACGGCGGATGAAGTGAAGTCTCCTTACGAAGGGCAGCTAGAATCACAATGTTCCCTAGAAATGCGGTGATTGACAGTAAAATATTCAGCGCTGAAAGAAAGATTAACTCGTTGTGAACTTCAGCAGTGAATTCTGCAGAACAAAACAGTTCACGAGAAATTCTTTGCTCAGTTGTAGCTTCAGTAAAATTTGCCGGTGCCATCCGCTCTCGTGTTCTTGTCTCGTGTTTGTCCTCTTCAGGTGCTTTTTAACGGCGTAATTATTACTTTCTTGTGCCTTTGTTATTGTTATATCGACCAACCTATCTAATGCAAACAACGCATCCAAGTTCCACGTCAGTGTTCTCTGTGTGCTAGGTATTTAAAAAGGTTTCCATATTTTGCCAGTTTTAACTGTGTCGCAGGTAGGAGGGCGCTGAATTATATTTCTCTATACAAAAAGCTCTACACCTTGAGTCAAAATATTTTAGTTTTAATTTCATAAATGTTTTAATTCACAAGCGAATTTTTAAGGCTTTTTGCCAAGCGAAACAATAATTGCTGAAAATCGCTCATGTCAGCGCCGCGATCTAATTACATGACTACACTTTTCATGCATCCTTATTTCTACTCTTACTCTTGTATTAATAACAAGATATAAACTCATCAATATCTGTCTAGAGGTAGAAATTTAATATTGAATACACTCATCCCGCAGGATAATTGTCAAAGAGGGACTCATAATAACGCCACTCGGAAAATACACATTTAAAAGATCAATTTATTGAAGCGCTGGGGATTAAGGGTGGCTCGGCTAATATTTTTTCTTTCTTTCTCATTTTTTTATGCCGGGAGGAGGGTTTGGGGTTAGGTAATGTCGTTAAAGTTGAGTAGCAAGTGCGTCATCGATAGCAACGCCGAAAATGTTCACCACGATATTTGTCTTACATAAACAAAAACTGCTGTGACAATTTTTATATCTAAGTCGGTCAAATTTTCGGCAATATCAAGGTAGTACTGATCTCCACGATTGTTGAAATTATTCGACAAGTTAAAAAACCTCGTTAATGATCTTTAAAATTAAATCGTAGGAATGAGAAAAAAACAAATTTTATAAAAGGCTTTTTATTTGGAAGAATATATAAATATTAAAAGTCTGCTTTTCCTGTATCACGCGAAGACACGGAATCATACATTGTTCAGCCTTTGTTAGTTGGTCACAAGTCGGGGGACAACACCAGTTTCTATACGTTCTTTATCGTCGTAACATTTCTTGGAATTTTGTGGTTTAGGGACCAC